AAGAAGTGATGCAAAATGCTCATCTCTGTTTTGCCTAAGTTGGAATTCACCGAGGCTAGAAAAGCAGTGGGCATCATTTGAAAACATTGCAAAGTAGATAAACCATTCAAAGGCAACTGGGGCAAGAGATTACAGTTGAGACGACAGATAGCCGGTCTTAGGAGAAAAAAACCGGGGAGAGAGTTTCTTTGTGAAACTGGAGCAATTAAAAGCACCCATATGTATGGAGAAATTTAGAAAACCAGGCACATGCCCAGGGCAAGATGCATGCTCAGAAAAGACCTCAGAAGAACTCAAGCTTTGACCTTGGGTAGATCTTAGACTCAGTGAAAGTCTGGCTAAGTGTTAAAGGAGAGCTTCAGAACAGAGTCAATCTGCAAAGACTAGGAGAGATTTTTTCCTTTTCTTTTTTTTTTCACCTCTGATGTTCAAGAAAATCTCCATCAAACACAAGAAATATACATAACATAAAATATGCCATTTTAGCAATAAAAGAATATACCAACTAAATAAATAAATCAATGAAATGATGAAAAAAAAAGAAAATCGCCAAAGTGATCTTAAGTTTCCCCTGGAGGAATAAATATGAAAGAATAGCCATAGACATATTTTGAAAGAGTAATCAAGGGGAAATGTCTCACTAGATGTTAATTTCATGATTTAAAATGTAGTACTAGACTAGGAACTAAGACAAAAATTTTTTTAAATGAGGAAATACAGAATTTGAATCATTACAATAGTGGCATTTCAAATCCACAGGAAATGAGTGTGTTGCTTAATAAATGACATAGGAAGAAAGGACCAACAAAGTGAGAAAATAAAATAAAGCTAAATTATATCAAAACAAACTCCAGGTGAACTAAACATCAAAACCTAAACAAAGCATAAAAATGCTAGATTAATATATAAGTAAATAGTGCAGTTTTCCACTTGTAGGAAGATGAAATAAACATACTTCTCCCTATTCTTCCCACTAAATGCAAGAAAAAACAAACAAACAAACAAAAAAACCTTTTATGTTATATAGAAAACAAACACAAGAAGACTTAAAATGGTAGAGAAAAAAAAGATGAGGGATTTGGGGACCCCAGGAACAACATGATTTTGAGTTCCTTGGGTTTTCTTTTTGCCTTGTATATATCAGACTTGGATCTGAAGAAGCCAGGAACCTGGAAACACCAAGAGGCCCAGAAAACAAAAGGCACCAACCAAGGGCCTGCTATCTCTAGCCAGGGAACTGGGAAAGGGACAATCTGGCAAGACAGATACGTTTAGACAACAACAGTTCTACTCCAGCCAAACACCACAGAGAAAAGGCATGGCTCCATGACTCCCCTTGCCAGCAACGGCCTGGTGGGAAGCTTAGACCTTCAGCCTTGTTAGGCTGTAGGGAGGACCCTCGACCCCCTATCATACTAGGGTGGTGTCAGAGAAGGCAGAGTAGGGAGCTGGGACTTACATCCCCAAGGTGATGAGCCATCCACCATGTCCTCTCCCTGACCACACACATACACAGTGTCAGTGGGGACCATGTGAGGAGTCTGGACCTCCTCCACACCAGGCAGCAACAAGACATCCCTCCCCTTTCTTGTTAGAATGATATAAAAGGAGGCCTAATCTCCGTTAGTCACGACTTCAATAAACCTTGACCTAAACATCACACTTTATGTAAAAATTAACTCAAAATGGATCAAAGATTTAAATATAAAACTTAAAACTACAAACTTGTAGAAAAAAATACAAAAGAAGGGCCTCCCTAGTGGCGCAGTGGTTGAGAGTCCGCCTGCCGATGCAGGCGACACGGGTTCGTGCTCCGGTCCGGGAAGATCCCACATGCCGTGGAGCGGCTGGGCCCGTGAGCCATGGCCGCTGAGCCTGCGCGTCCGGAGCCTGTGCTCCACAACGGGAGAGGCCACGGCGGTGAGAGGCCCGTGTACCGTAAAACAAATGTAAGACTAGGCAGAGTTCTTAAGACTTGACACCAAAAGCATGATCCATAAAAGGAAAAATTCAGATATATCACTTGGTACCCACCTCTCCAGGCCAGAAAAGTCCACTGTCATTTACACACACATCTGCCAATGGCAGATATATCTGCAGACACACACACTCACACACACACACTGCCCCCAGCTCTGCGTCTGAGAGCCCCCAAGGCCTGGTCAGGGTTTTGAGGGCAGGTGCTTGGTGGGTCAGCTGGAAAATCTTCCTCAAAATCAGGCAGACACTGAGAGCACTGCTCGTGAGGGCACAGATCAGGAAAGGAATGACACAAAATAATCAAGTGTGGCAGATGCGCATCACAATGCACATGACCAAAGGCTCAGGAATCGGTCAGAAATATACATTTCGGGAGTATGAAAAGTAAGGTATACTAGCTGGAGGTTCAAGAGTTCACAAGAATATCTAAAGACCTTTCAGTGAAAGAGGGTCATATTTGAAGCTTGGGGATAGAAAGAGACAGATTTGGTTAGAGGAACACATGTTAAGTTGAGGGCAATGCGCTGGGTGCGGAGCTAGGAGCAGAACAGCGCAGTCAGGAACACAAGATCAGCAAAGGGAACAAACACTCAGTTATAAGTTCTGGAGACTAACGTACAACATGGTGACTACAGTTAATGGTAATGCGGTATATACTAGAGATTTGCTAAGAGAGTAGGTCCGAAGCGTTCTACCACACCACACACACCTGCACACACAGGTAACTATGAGACGCGATGGGTATGCTGCTTTGATTGTGGTAATCATTTCAGTGTATACGTACATCAAAACATCACATTGTACACCTGAAACATATATAATTTTTGTCCAAAATAAACAAACAAAAAAAATCTTTTTAAAGGACACGAGTTCAGGAATGAGGCCTTTCAAACGAATGCCTAGGAGGAGTTCGGGATTTTCCAGGCTCCCAGTAGGGCATGAGGCTCTTCTCTTTTTGAGGTATCTTAGAGGAACCCAGCACATCTTGACAGCCAGGATCCTAGAATATTCGACCTGAAGGAGTACTTACAGATTGCCAACTCTCACTGCAATGAGCTTATTAGTAGAAAGGATAAGTGGTGCTCCAAGGTCCTGAACCAAGTTCACAGAAAAGCCAGGACTAGGACTCAGACCTCCTTATTCCTGTTGATTTCCTTAGTCATTGGCTCTACTGCAGTGTTTAGTTCATGTCTGTTTAAGCACGTAACTCAGATACAATGGGGAGGAAACACGTGATCTTTCTGCCCCTTGATATGTGGGTGAAATTTCTTCAAATCCCTACCCTGTGACATGTAGGAGTCCAAAGCCTTCTGAGATTTCTCTAAATTTCCAAGGAGTAGAAGGCAGCTAAGGTTCTCCCGGCTGTCTTTGAGGAGCTTTCTAGTGTGCTACCTCTCCACACCACATGGCCACAGCCTGACACTCGGACCCAGCCATACCCACAAAACCCACCCAGGCATATTGGGTACCTCCTGCCACAGATTAAGAGGAGCTGCCTTAATTACATATTTAATTTTTTAATTGACTTTTAGGTATGCAAACTTTTATCCCTGGCAACTTTCACCCATTCTTTAGAAACTGAAATCAACACATCACATTTCTTCAACTAAAAAATACTGTAATGTCTGCATATCACCAGTGCTCCTTAGGTGTCTGGTAGTGATACACAGTGTAAACCTTAAACAGAGCAAAAAGCAATTTTCCTTAAGCAAAAATTAGTTTATATGGGAAAAGCAAAGGACAATTTGGGACAAGCCAACTATATTGAAACATAAGCAAGTCTGGAGAACAAATGGGGAGGGGTTGTTTTGAACAAAAGTTCACTGGAGGAGAATGAGATTTTGAAGTGGTGGCGGCTTCTCATTGGCTGAAGATTAGGGCAGCTTACTGTTGCCAGGTGAGAGAGGAACTCTTCCTCCTTCCTGCTGAACTATACAAGCTGCAACGCGTGGCACGTGTGAGAGCCCTCCCTTCGTGGCTTCCCAACTCCAATTTTGGATTAGGTTTCCTTAACACGTTTTCACAACAGTATAGATGTATAACTGAGATCACTTAGATTCCCTGTAATATTTGCCAGAGAAGGAAGTGAGGTCTTGTGTCTGGCCGAAGGAAACTAAATATTGGGTTGGCCAAAAAGTTCATTCAGGTTTTTCTGTAGCGCCATGAAAACCCCGAACGAACTTTGTGGCCAACCCACTAGTTACCTCTTTAAAAATCAGTTTAACAGTCATTGAAAATAGTATCTTATTTTTGTTATGAGGGTTTTTTGTTTGTTTGTTTTTGTTTTTGTTTTTTTGCGGTACACGGGCCTCTCACCGCTGGGGCCCCTCCCGTTGCGGAGCACAGGCTCCGGACGCGCAGGCCCAGTGGCCATGGCTCACGGGCCCAGCCGCTCCGCGGCATGCGGGATCCTCCCGGACCGGGGCACGAACCCGTGTCCCCTGCATCGGCAGCCGGACTCTCAATCACTGCGCCACCAGGGAAGCCCGTATCTTATTTTTAAGTAACCTGCTAAATTTCTGCAGAATCAGTTTCCACATCATGGCTAGTCTAGTAAAGAAAATTAGATAAAGAAACACCATATAAAGGTAAAATGTTAAATGCTGGTTATTATTGTCTATTTTTAACATCCATGGACTGCATGTGTGGTGCAGACTTGGTTTTTGGCCTCATGGAGCCTATAATCATTCGGATTATTGTGTGAACATCCACTTACCTGTTTTTCTTTCAAATACATCAACCAAGCCACCAATCACCACACACAAAACAAAGCCACTTCTCTAATGGATTTTTTTTTTTTTTTCCTAACGGATTTGGACTTGGGAGTACTTGTTGAGAATGTTAATGTACTAGGAAGTATAGTGTTATACATGGTTACAGTAACCAGAATAAGATAAAAAACTACTGTTATTAAACAAAGATACATTAGGGTTAACTTTGTAAAGAAGAAAAAACAAATGAATATTCCCAGATCTTCCCAAGTCCTTGAATGTGGTAAAGAAAACATGAGACAGAGACCATTAACGTAATAAATGGATGACTGTATTAAGAGAAAAGGACAAGATTGGTGTTTGCCTCCATCCGTTCAGGAAAACAAGCACACGGACTTATACAATACTTTGGTTTAAAAATGATTCATAATATCAATGTTAAACCTGATATTGAAAGAATCCAATCGGTCACAAGGTGTAAAAAACGAACCACTGAAACACAAGCTTGCATAGATGAATGAATGAAGATGTATAACTGGCACTGAAGGGAGACTTGAGCACTGGATTCTGAATGACGTTAGCACCTCAGCCGCCCAAGACACAAGAACGTCTCCAGCACCACATTTCTCACTTTCCCCAATGAGGTCATGAGCAGAAACCTGTGCTGTATGAAGGTGGATTGAAACAGACCGTTTCCATCAACTTCTTCCAGAAGCGTGCACACATACCCACTGGTACCCAACATCAGTCACCTTAAGGCATCCAGCGTCCCTCACAGTTTCACTTAATCTCTAGATAGGCATGTGATTTGAGGTGGCCTCCTTGTTTTTTGTCCTCAGACTGGCAACTCTATTCCATTAAGGTTCTGTTCAGTTCCATGAAGTAACTATTTCAAAGCTGCCTTTCCCTCTGGGGCTTGGCTACAAACTGATGAGCACTTGAGATAACATCTCACTTGTTTTTTAAACATCTACTTTCCAAATGTCAAAGGGCTTTCTTACCGAAGCATCCAAAACCTCTGGGCACTGTGCAGTTACCTCTTGCAAGAGGATACTTTTCCAAATTTTGAGACAAATGACAGCACCACCTCAAATTTCCTGAGCAACTTGATTTATATGAACAAACTCCTATACTTTATAATTCGGCACCTTTCAAAATACAATAGTGTTGGGATGGATTCTTCTTAAGGAAAACCGCATTACAGAGAATTCTCATTTTGGAACATCATTTTTATATGCTATCATAATACTTCATGAACTAAATATTGGGTTGCCTTTAAGAGGCAGGTGAAAAATATAGCTATATCCGAGAAAGGGCATTTGGCTTTCAGTCTATGACAAAGCTGAAGGTATAGCCTATGGGGATTTCAGAGGCTAATTCAATAAGAAATTTTAGAAATTCTGATATCAAAAGCCCTCTCACTAAATTTAGAAAGAGTTAGAAACTCTTTTAGCAATTATGGTCTGAAACTCAGTGCAACAAAAATTTATCCTAAGTATATGTATGATGTGTAACAGTATATTCTCTCAACTGTCTTCTCTTTGCTGTCCTTAATCCTTGCTCTTTTGTGAAGGAAATGTCACTTGACTCCTGTCTTTCAATTCTTCCATTCTTTCTATATGAAACTCAGCAATGAATCATGGGGCACTAAGTTACACAATTAGTTCTGTTCTTATCTGAAATGCCTTATGCTATGAAAAAGTTACTCAAGATGAGAGAAAAATTTTCTAGTTTGCTGAGAATACACAAAAACATTTAAGTCTATTAGGAACATATATCTAGGCAGTGTTCACACATATTTAAGGGCAAAGAGAATGATTTTTAGGACCAGACATTTCCACAAATCAACATGATTACTTAGATGATTGTGTTAGTCTGTAGCATCAAATACAACCCTAAAACACACTCTGGTGTCTCCCCTACCATAGCAAAAGTTTCAGATTGATTTTCTCTTCAAAGTAATAAAATACAAACACTCTTCATATCAACAAATCTCCCATTTGAGTAAATGTCTCTGTTTTGTTTGGTTTTCTTTTTTTGTTAATGTACGCATTTTAATACATAAGAGTGTTGGTGAAATTCTTACAAAACATAATGACTTCACACTGCATAAGAGAACCTTTGGAAATATCTTCTACACAGTAGCCATAGAGAAGGAGGACAGTCAACTCTCAATTATTTAGGAAGTGATCACCTGAAGAATCTGGTCAGGAAATTCTCTCTCGCCTACTACCAGCCTTCTTGGTCATGCCACTGCTCATAGATTGAGAGGCGATTTGAAATGGAATGACATACCTATCAGTGTGGACGTCACTCACAGCTTGGTGTGAGGATGTCTGGGGCTCACCTGTGAATTTTATATCTCAATGGAGAGTTGACAGTCGTTCACATATAGGAAATATAGTACACTGACCTTGGTCAGAATCAAACTAATTTAAGGCAATACTGCTCCTCACAGACGTTGCTGGCACACAGTGCAGGTCTCCTAAGAAAAGTGACTGTAGAAGTGAGGATTTCCTACTTTACCCTTTCCTTCTTGATTTCTCTAGAAATAAATTCAGCATTTCTAATGAGAGTTAAATGGCAAGAGTAACAACCAGCCTCAACTCTTCCCTTTAACAGTCTTATGTATCCTCAGGGATAAAAGAGACTCTTCCCAGAGAACTCTGGGTGACACTGGGTGCCCCGTGCAGCATTATCAGGCCAGTCTCCAGTTTGCTTCTCCCTGCCCAGATGACCTACTATGGACTAGGGAGAAAAAAAGGATCCTATCACCAGTAAGATAAGCAGTTATGGCTTTAAGACTCACAGGCACCACCAGATAGGAGGAAAAATGGGATCATTTTATCTAACTTTTCTCTGACTCCAAGCAGTAAGCAATGGACAAAGTACTCTAAAAATCTGTTTTTGTCTTTGTTTCTTTTCCTTTTCACTCAAAGAGCAGGTCTTGACTTCTGTATGCTTGTTTCTAAAAAGCCAGTATTATCAGAATATGGCACACTATGTAACAGTGAAATCTACCTGAAGGATTCCCTTTTCCGTATTAACGTCCCCAACACAAATAGTGCTTTCCCAAAAGGGAAAAAAGCCTTTGAGTGCAAGTCCTATCTTGTTCTCAGTCCTTCAGAAAGCTGCTTACACAGGGGTCTTATGTCTTTATGTGGCTGAGGATATTACAGCCAATCACCACAGTTATCTTTCCAGGAAATCATCACTGAATAAATGAATAATCTTGGTACTCCCCAACGTGATTTTTATATAAAGACAACACTCATTAAAAATCAAGGCCCTAGAGTGTTAACCACTTATGTGGTAAACTAAATGCACCATATTATACCAGGTGTTTCCAAAGAGCAATCTGGCACAAGACAAAATTCAGAGAACATTTGACAGTAGTAAAGAAAAATAATAATCAGTTGAAAGTTAATTAGTTTTATACTGAAAAGTCCCAAGATTGTGTGAAAGGTACGGACAATGTCTGCAACGGATTTATTCATGGTCCAGTCCCACTGTGGGCCACAGTACAGAAGAAAAGGGCTAAACAGGTCTGGTTCCTAATTTCCTCGTGAGTCCAGTGGAACACAGGCCCAAGTTCACACATTATGGAATATGTTGATCTAGATCCAAGTGGCCACTGCCATTCTAAAAAGGTTTTCCTCCTGGGAGCATCTATCCGTATCTTTTCTAATTTAGATGTTTCTCTATGATCAAAAACCATATAGTCTTTTCTGCAGTTCATTAGTCTGTTGCTGGTTGTTGTAAAGTCACTTGGGAAATCGTAAGTCCAAGACTTTGTATGCAAAGTCACCTTCTAAAAATTGCAGTGTTATTTTAAAGCATGTGTAGCAACCGTCCAGTCTCCCAACATAAAATTATGTCTAACAATGGTTAGACAGCAGAGTCACATTATTTCCAACTCAGAACATTTAATCTTACCCTTATCTAACCTTGCTTCCAGGCGATGACTTACAAAAAGTTAGGCTGTGGCAATGGGGTGTGCATGTCCAGTAGCCTTACGATAAGGCTCCACAACACACTGTGCTCATTCAGTGATACTGATGTTAATGAGGGCTGTCTCCACAGGACAGAGGTATGGAAACAGAAAGATTTTCTAAAGGCCAGAAGTATTAGTTTACATCACAACATTAAAGCATAATACATTGTGGGCCTAAAAATTAAATTGCGTGTGTTCCAGCAGTAGGAACAGAAACAAAATAAATGCTTCCATATTTATATAAAAATGACAAAGTGAAAAGCAGAGGACACAGTGAAGAATGTCTGGCAGTTTCTTAAAATACAATTGTTAGTTGCTTCTATAGTCTCAAAGATAACAATTACACTATTTGAATGAGAGTAAGAGGAATTCGGCTGGTTGAATTTGATCTGTCTCCTAACAGGGAAAGAATTATTCTGATACTCCTTAAAGTGTTTGCTTTACAAAAAAAATTAAATTAAATTAAAATATTTAAAAATTCTAATCTTTTAAAAACCTTAAGAAAAATAACAAATTTTCAATACAGATGCTGAATTTGTGTGTCACGAGGGAAATACCACCTTTGGTCACTCACTAAGACAGCTGAAACACTAACATCCTGGTCACGTGTTAACTCACCTGACATTTGTTTTGAGTAAAATATATCCAGTTAGCATTTTACAATAATAAATATGACTGGATGAAGTAATACATGAGAGGCAAGAGAAACGGAGAATTTGAAAAGAAGAACTGATCATTGTATGAGATAGAAAAATAAACATTTATAAAATAAAAATATGGCAAATGTTGCCCATTTGCCTGATTTTCAAGTAAAAATATACTGTTCTTTTTCTTTAAAGCTACCATAAAAAACTTTTTGAAACATGAAGCAAAATCACAGGGCAGACAAAGAAAAATATAGCATTACTGTAAATCAACAATACCTAAACTTTGGATATTGAAACCACCCTCTGGAATTTGATTTAAGGCTAGGGTCTCCGTTCGGTCTGCCCTTGCCTATTTAAATAAAGACTTTTTCTCATTCATTTCATCCTGGACATTCAAAGTCCTGTTATTCTTCCTTTCCCCAATTTTCTAAAATGACTACATCCTTAAGGGTTTTGTTTCTTTCTAGATTATCATTTTCCCAAAACTTAATTCTTAGATATCTTTTACTTAAGTTCACACAGTCCAAAAACTTTATGAAACGAAAGATCTTTCTCAAAATGAAAAACCCAAATCTGCTCTGAGAAACTAGTCTAAAAAGCTTCCTGAATATTGCCCAACTTTAAAGACTATCTCAAAAGATAAGGCAAACAGAAGCCAGAAAAGAATGGATTAACCATTTTTCTCAAGTCACCCCCAGATTTCTTTCCTAAACAAACATCACACTAAAATGCCAAAAACGTCAGATTCATACAATGAAAAATAACAGGAAGTCAGGCTGAAAGGATATTATTTATATATATAGCATGACTGATATTTATGTTAACTAACTAGCATGGGAAAAGAGGCATTTCCATGAGGTTAGAAGATGGAAAAAAATTCCATATTTCTTGAAGAGGGGTTTAAAGGTCTGGCACAAAAGGAATCCAATGCCCATGTGTCATTAACAAATGTGTAGAACCAAATAGTTGGATGAAGAACCCCTTTATCAACTTCATGCCCAATTAATCTACTTATTGACAGATACACAAAATATTTTTGAGAGGTTGTCAACATATGCTGCTATGATCAATCTTACAGCTAGAGAAAATGATGGCAGCACCATGTATATAAACGTTTTCCCAATTCCATTCCCTTCGGCTTTATAAGTAAATGTAAAATAAGAGAAGGGATACAAAATTTTTCATTTTCCGTTTTTCGATTTTCAGTTGATTTTGCACAGACTTTAGTTAAAACTTCACAGAATTAAATTTTTGCTAGTAAATACTAATAAATGGTCCAATGCCCAGAGGCTTCAGAAAGCCTTGCTATTGAGGAGGCAATGGCAGCGACAGTGTTAGTGAACGACATCTAAGCCAATCTTCCCAGGAGGGCGTGTAAGGATACGAAAAACCTCTACAGTCCTGGTAGTCTGTTACATATTTCAACTGTTCCAGGTTTTTTGGGGTTTTTTAAAATATTTTATGGTTGTGATTTTTTTCTTTCCTTGAATAGTAAAAAGCAAATGTCTCTGTCTTTTAATATATCATACACTAATGAACCAAAAAAAAGCTATTTCTTATATTCTTTTATTCTGCATTGCATCCAAACATTGTGTTACTTTGATCATTATCTCCACAAAATTCTAATTGCTAAATAAAGCCTATTCCCTAGATATCAATACTCCATACCTAACGAAAATGGCATTTTATAGAGCTCTTAGATACTATATCCCAGGAAGCATATGCAGCATAAAGGTGGCCAATATTCAGAAGCTAGATTTTCTTGTACTGCCCACGTGATCAGGAATAACCAAAACATTTTAAATGAATGAAAATTATTTATGGTCTAAAAAACATTTGAGGATAAATCTGAGGAATACAAAATATAGGAGAAAAAAATAAGCATGGAATGCATTCTGTATCATCCAGTAATTTTGCTACAGTGAGTCCGTTTTCAAGGCAGGTTCCTAGGTTTTTACGGCTTATAATGGAAACCTGGAGAGAGAAGGAAAAAAGAAGAAAAACGATGAAGGAAAAATCTCTGAGACACTTTTTCTCCCTGCCCAGGTAAAATAATTTACCTATATTTATATGCATTTCAAGTGGTTCATATTTTGTTTGTTTTTGGTTGTAAGAATACAATTGGCTCTCCACATCTGCAGGTTCCCCATCCACCATGGACTGAAAATATTCAGAAAAAAAATTTCCAGAAAGTTCCAAAAAGCAAAACTTGAATTTGCCATACGTTTGCAAGTATTTACAGAGCATTCGCACTGTATTACGTATTGTAAGTAATCTAGAGATGATTTACAGTTTAGGGGAGGACGCATGGCAAATGCTATGCCATTTTATACAAGGGTCTTGAGTATCTGAGGATTCTGAGATCCTCGGGGGTCCTGGAGCCAATCTCCTGCAGATACCCAGGTTGTATTTACATTCAGAATCAATGTGTTATTTTAATATTATGTATCAAATGTATGTCAAGGACAGGAAGGCACCTCCTAAAAGTGATGCATGTATATAATTTGAGAAAGAACCTCATGAACTTCCTCCAGTTAAACAAGGGATGGTAAAAAGGCCACCAACTAATGGAAATTGTAGTGTATGGGTTGTTTTGTTAATATTCAACTAATCTCATCTTTTAAGTAATGTTTTTTGTCTTAATGTCAACATTGGATGAATGACAGAATGATAGGGAAGCAGGAGAAGGAGAGCTTTTAAAAAAATACAAATGTCTGGCAAAACCTGCCCCCGGAAATTCTAATTTAATTAGTCTAGAGTTGCACCTGTGCAATGGTATCTTGTAATCACCTCAGAAAAGAAAATTTAAGTAAGTTTGGGAAGGCAATCATTAGATTTGGGAAAGGATAATGAAAACATCACCTAATAAAACTTCAAAAACCATAAAAAAAACCAAACATCAATTGATAAGACCTAATCTTTGTAAAGTCTGTTGCAATCTGCTTTCATATATTTTACTCATATAATCCTGACCGTGCTGATACCATTAAAATCACCTCCATTTTTAGATGAGCAAATTAATATGAGAAACTACATTTTCCTCACTCATTTTATGACTGTCATAAAAATACATCTAAGGGAACGCATATGGTTAGTAGAGGAACTAGACCCGATTATTCCTTTCATTTTAAAGATCTGGTCCAACTTAGATCTCATATTTTTTTCTCATTTTCTTTGTCCCATTTTTCTTCCATGTGATGTGTTTTGTGTGATGTGTGTATGTATGTGCGTATTTTAATCTAATTAAGAGAATCACGGGCAGATGAGAAACAAGAGCCAAGACAGGAAAAGCCCAGTAGATCTAAGTGGGGAACATAGTCTCCCTTTAAGGATCTGATAAAAGCTATGAATGAACTCTCTCTGGACCCTTGAACAATGTGGGGTTTCGGGATGCTGATTCTCTGCACAGTTGAAAATCCATGTATAATTTATAGTTGGCCCTCTGTATACACATCTGCAGACTCAGCCAATATGGATGGTGTAGTACTGTAATATTTATTATTGAAAAAAATCCATGTATAAATGAACCCCTGCGCAGTTCAAACCTGTGTTGTTCAAGGGTGAACTAACTGTACATAGAAAAGTCCTGTATTCAGCTTAAGGTGTTTGCTTTCTGTTTTTTAATCATTTTTGTTTGTTTTCCAAAAAATGAAGACTACTATAATGATCTGCCAAGAGGAAGAATAACTTATTTTTCCACTCTAGTGATCTATAAGACAGCATCTGGCTTTTCCACCACAGCATGAGGATGATTAAAACGGATCTGAAACCTGACCATATATACTTTTATTACCTTTATGAGAAGACTCTGACTTTGAGAAATGACGTGTGGAATTATGCTGGTTTGTAAAATGAGTGTAATCCAAATCCTCAGCCTCTGTCATGGTAGGTGGTAGTGGCCTGAAAGAAAGTTACAATTTAAAAAGATACTCCAAGGAGTAATGACAGAAATTCCACCTCTCATTGGATCACTTGGCAAAGACATTTTCGGTAGAAATACAAAGCCAGAATATTTTAGAATCCTCATGTTAGTTCCTGGCCAGTTACATGACCTTGGATAAATTATTTAATCTTACTGTTCCTTTGTTCTGATGCACATAATTCAATGAAAACAAATATTTTCTGAACACCTAATATGTGTGAGGCATTGTGCTAAGGGCTAGAGAAACAAAGATTAATGTTATCACTGCCATTAATGAGAAGTATACTTTGTTTTGGTAGGTATTACGAAGAAAAAGAGAAAGAAAGGAAAGGATAGAAGGGAAGAAAGTAATTAAGGGAGAGAGGGAGGCAGGTAAGAAGGGAGGACGGAGAGGGGACGCTGGCCAACACAGAAAATTTAGAGCAAAGTTCCTTAAACCACTAGGTGGCAGAGTAGAACTTAGAGAAGGAAAGGGCAGTAATAATACATGTGCAACTTTTCATGTCAAAACAAGACAAACTGTAAAAAAAAATTGGGACGTTTTTAATACTCCAAACTTTGTATTATCTTACTTATATAACATAGATTTTTGCAGACATCTGGCACTGATACAGATAGAACAAAATCTCTCCCTTTTTTTGGTTGTTGTTTCCTAAAGGTGTGCTCAACATTTGTGTTAAAGCGTGGAACCAGATGAGGTTAAGACCTGCCAAATATACAGCCACGTTGTAGGATGTGTCGTGTAATTATATATGCAATATGGAAAGCATAAATATTTTGAAGTTTGGAAAGTTATGGTCGGTTTGGGTATAATGGGTTCTGTCATATAAGAATGAGGACAAGTGTTCAAATTTCTCACCCTGACCCAAGCAGTAGGTATCTCCCTGGGTAGTCAGTGTCTGGAAGAGGTCAGCATCGGAAGTAAATGTGTGTATATACTGAGGGCTACGCTATGGGCTCTACAGAGACAATCTCAACTTTCAGGATGAGTTTGCATGGTAGCTATCATCCACATATTTTAGAGTTAGATTAGGTTAGATCAGGTAAGCGATCTAAGTTCACACAGTTGGTTAGTGGTAGAGCCAGGGCTCAAACTCAACTGGACTTCAAAACCAGTGCTCTTAACTACTATACTATGCTCTGCTACATAGGTGTGTGTTTTTATCATTAGCATTATCTGCATTCAAGATTATACAAACACACACACACATGCACACAAGCACACATACTCCTTATACTTTCAAATGGTACATGGCATATGTTTTTATACTTTCTTACATTTTTATACACATATGATAAATATGAGTGTAACAAATAACGTGACATTTTTCTTGTTTTTCTTTTTGAACCATTTGTTTACAAATATTAGAAATCAAATCAGTGTTTTCCTTTCATTATTCATGGATATTTATAACATTCGCCTTTAAAAAGTAACATAAGACTTGGCAGGAACAGTTGAGACAAAGCAGTCTGACTCCAGAATTAAGAAAGTTAACTAAAGAAGTAACTTAGGCTCAAGAAAACAGGATTGGTAATCAGGGTGGCAGGCTCTATTTTGTACTCTTTTTAATACCCTCATTAGGTGACTGGAAACTGGAGAAACACAAGCCAACTGGTACTGTCAAAAAAACTCTATGTTGGGCTTCCCTGGTGGCGCAGTGGTTGAGAGTCCGCCTGCCGATGAAGGGGACATGGGTTCGTGCCCCGGTCCGGGAGGATCCTACATGCCGCGGAGCGGCTGGGCCCGTGAGCCATGGCCGCTGAGCCTGCGCGTCCAGAGCCTGTGCTCCGCAACGGGAGAGGCCACAGTGGTGAGAGGCCCGCGTACCGCAAAAAACAAAACCAAAAAACTCTATGTTTATTGCCTCACCATTAACTCATCATCAAGGAAAGGGATGCTAAAGAGTAAAACAAAGTATAGGACATCAACGAATTCTCTAGGATCCCCCCTATAACGATAAACAAATGAATCTAGAATGCCCTCAGTTCTCTTGGTGTGCTGTTTTGTTCAATATTTGATTACACGGAGAACAAATCTGGGCTTACTGCTTCCAGGGGTCCTACCAAATTATTTGTTGCACTGGAGACAGTTACTTCAGTTAAGGGTATTCATATCCAAAGTTGGAAAAATCCTGTTAACTAATAGTTTGTTTTACAGTTTTTGATGTATTAGGATTACTCGTTTCCAACTGCTCGTATGAAATGATTTGTATCTTTAAGCTAATAGTGATAAAGCCAAATATGCTTCAGAATTCACTCAAAATTCATTTCTTCGAGAAGCCCGCCTAGACACCTAGACTAGTTTAAGTGTCTCCTTATGCTCTGCTAACAACCTGTATTTTTCATCCTTAGCATTTAACACAATCATAATAGTTATTTGTATAATTATCTGTTTAGTTTATAAATTTCATAAGAGCAGGAAACAACTTTTTTTGACTGCTGCTTACTTTAGCTCTGGACAATTTATTAGGGTGCTCAATAAATACTTGATAAATGAGGAAAGGGAGACAAATATATTTCATATTCATAAGAATACTGTAGGAACTAAATGAGATTTATAAAATCCTTAAGTTTTTCTAAGGGAAAAATGCAAAACTAAAATACCAAGTAGTATTATTAATATACAATCCTAGAGTTAAAACAATTTGGAACTTGGGTTGAAACTTTTTCCAATTACAAAGAATTGGAATTAACTCAGATTGCCTACTGGTTCTCTATTTTTTTAGACTAGAAATCTTATAATAGACAATGAAAATGACTTTTAACCATGACTGTTACACTGAAGTAAACGTCTTGAACTAGTAAGCTCCGTGTTTCTCAACCCTTGAAACCATCTCTTTCTGTACAAATGGATAACTCAACTTCCACCATGATTAAATGTGAAAGAGGAAACCACAGACTCTAACCAGAAAGCATACATTCTGATATTAATTGTATAAGATACCTATAATAAGATAATAGGCTTTAAGTTTTAACTATGAAAATATAGGTTTCATAAAATTCTTATTCATTTTTGTTTTGCCATATATAGTCTTTCTGCAAAAGCTATTTAAAGACAAACATTCCTCTTAATTCAATTCACTTCTATTAGTCATAGGCCACTTCTCACTCATTTACAATAGACATTTTTAACACAGGATCATTCGATTATTCATAATCAAATACATCAAATATTTTAAAGAGTACCTATTACATTCCAGAAACTTGTTTTCAACTTTAATAAATCCTTTAAATAGACATTCCAGACTGTTCAATCATATGCTGTCAAAGTTATTCTAAAAAAGCCCAAGGTGTTCTAAAAAGCCCAAGGACTTCGAAGACTGCAAAATTACTGACTCTAAAGATGATTTTAATTCCCTTCATTAAAAAAAGCATAATATGCCACACCTATTTACCTACTGAGAACAGTTTAGTTACTTCTTATTTTACTTGGCTGTTGCAGGGATGTAAGTAAAGCTGAAGTATGTAGTTCTAAAATTTGCTTTAAAAGGCATTTGGCATGTGCATAACTAAAAGCTGGAAGAGGAACCAATTTTATACAATTAGACAAACTACACTACTGTTGCCCTAAAAGCTTTACAACCTGATATAGTTTTCTGAAACGTATTTATCTTCTGAAAGCCCATGGATTTAAAAGTAGAGTATGGCATTTTAAGGACACTATATTCTCTTTAAGGAAACAAGTCTCGTAGTTTAAGTGTGAGCAATGAGTGGCAACAACAGTGTCTATTTTTCAGTGTGATAAAATTTTTGCTTTAATAATTAATGAAGGGCTTCCCTGGTGGCGCAGTGGTTGAGAGTCCGCCTGCCGATGCAGGGGACACGGGTTCGTGCCCCGGTCTGGGAGGATCCCACATGCCGCAGAGCAGCTGGGCCCGTGAGCCATGGCCGCTGGGCCTGTGCGTCTGGAGCCTGTGCTCCGAAGGGGGAAAGGAAAAAAAAGAGAGAGGCCCGCAAAAAAAAAAAAAAAAAAAAAAAAAAAAGAATGAATATATTATTAATAATCAGGACCAAAATACAAAGTTTCAATAATTTAGAGTTTTCAAAATATTAGATTTAGTGTTACTTTTGTCTTTTTCTATTTAATGCTCTCTCTTCCTCTTCCAATCAATTTCCCTTTGAAAAGCAACAGAAAGAAAGAAATAAAAAATAAAGGTTGCTTCCCCAGAGACTTAAATGTTGAGAATCTGCAGTGGAAAAACAGCAGATGCTCCATAACCATGACCCAAGACTGCTTGAGAGAAGTCAGAAAGTATATACATAGCATAGCCACAGCTATTTGATCTAGTGGGATTTAGAACAATCTGCAATGACTCAAATGAGTATTTGCCTAGGACGTTGAGACTCACATAGAAATGAATTTAGGTGTATGTAAATGTCATGCACACACTAATGTGACCATGAAACTCAGAAAAAATTTGAAACCTGAGATTTTACTTAGGAAAATGGTTAATCTCATCCCTTCCTAGCTGAGGTCAGTCAATTCAGTGACTCCAGAGACAAGAACTTGGTCCTAACCAAAAGTACATCTTTCCTTCTATACCCCAGCTTCTGTAAAATTCTCCGTCTTCCTGATTTGCCTTGTTCAACCCAATTTAAAACTGAAAACAAAGCTTGAAAATAACCCTGCAAGACTTGATACCACCTTACAACTGCAGATTTCTGGATCTCCTTTCCAAGGAACAAACACTCTTTTCAGGCAGCCAACATCTCCTTACTCACCCCAAGATCAAGTTCCTCACTCCCTTTTTCAGGTGTCATCTTACCGTGCTGGCCTGTCATTCTTAGAATGGTGATGTTCATCACTCTCTTTTGACTTTGAGTGTGCTGATTTAGCTGTCTTGGGCTATGGGGGAAAAAAAGAAAAGAAAAACACACACACATACAGAAAACAGCAAACAAACAGAGAAAGATTAGATTTATTAATTATCTAAATGATATGAAACTCTCCTTTAGTAATTTCAGGTTACTTACATCCAGTTGAGCAACTTAAAATATTTTTAAATACAGCCACTCAGAGACAAAAAAATATATAATCATGAAAGTGTGTTGCAGGTTTTCAGTACAGCCAGATGAGTGGGCTAAACACACACAAACACGATCCCCCATAGAGATGCGCTTGGCCACCCATTATTAACAAAACAGCTGCACAGCAGCTGACGAGAACTATAGCTGATCAGGACCCTATCACGCCTTCCAGGGACAGACCCCCCTCCCCCATATTCTCTGCCTTAGCTCCTCTCTGAAGTACCTAGGTAATAGTATCTGGTGCACATTTCCTGAGTGGTTTTACAGATGTGAAAACCCCCACCAAATGGAAGATGTTAACTACTTGATGACCATGAGCACACAGCCCCCAGGCCTTCTAAAAATGCTCTCCTGAAACCCACCGGGGAGTTCGGGCTTCTTGAGTACTAGCAGTCCCAGACTACTAGTATGGGGCCTTACAGTAAACGCTGCGCTTTCCTTCCCCACAACCCGATGTTAGTAGAGTGGCTTTACTGCACATGGGTGAGCGGACCCAAGTTTGGTTCAGTAACATAACTGGCGGACTCCCAGAGTCTGTGGAATCTAGCTTCATGCTCTTAAGCTTATTTCTGAACACCTGACTTAGGGATGCTAATTTTCAAGCTCAGAAACTAAGGCATATTCATGCCAACTTTTCCAGGAGAGAAACAATTCCAGCACCAGTTACAGAATCTAGAGATGACAGAAGTCCTGATACTGCTAGAAATGTGGTCTACTCCCTCTTCCTTTCCTGGTTTGCAATCTTTAAAAATACCTACTCCCTCACAGTTAACAAAGAACCTGAGTAACTCCTGGTCAACTACTTATGGTTTAATTTACGTAACAGAAGCATTTGGGAACCCTTCTACCAAAATGAAATATGTCTGTTAGGAAAAATCATGCATTACTAAGAGAGTACAGGAGGGAGATAAATTAAATAATTAACATGCAAATAATGTTTTCATCTGCTTTCAGACTCACAACTAGGTAACTGAGCAACAGGCAATAGTAGAGCGATACCGTTATCATGCTTTCTCTGTCTTTGTTTTCCTCAAAACATGCTGAGACTGTGACAGGATCAGAGACCCAAGGGAGGATTTTGTTTGAGAGAGGGAGGGAAGGGGGGAGGGGAAGAACAGTGCTAAACATCAACCATATCATGGACACACACCCTGGCTCCATCCTTCCAGCATAGTACAAACTCCCTCCCTAAAAGCCTTTACTATATGAATTCTCACCCCCGCTCCTTTGTTGTTTTTCCATTTTGCATTTTTCAGCCAGCTTGACCTTGTATCTGTTAGCTGTCTATAGTTTATCTTCCTCTCTACATTACACATTATTCTGGGGAAAATCTATCTTTGTCTTTCCCTGTAAGTCCGGAGTGGTCCTTTGCACACAGTAGCTAATGAGTAAGATCTGTTCAACTAAACTTGCAATCACCATATACAACAATTAGATTACAGGAGAATGAACAGCAGTCACTGACTATTATGGCTACTATTTCTGATTAACGAGGGGATGCTTACAGTTCAAGCTCATGCTAGAGGATTTCATACGCAATGATTGCTGGTGGTAAGAATGGCCGTCAGTCTGCCATGGGTCAAGTGATGTCAGAGGAAACAGAGACACCTGCGCATGATCAAGGAGGAAGGGCAGTATACGCAAACAGGGAAAGTTGAGAGAAGAAGAGAAGGGCACTGTGGAAATTTAAGAGCAAGTGAAAACACTACATTCTCCTGTAAGGCAAGCATAGTAAACCTATTGCTCATGGCCAGAGGCACCTACCTGCATCTCAGTTGGTCTTAAAATGAAGGACATGAGTTTTCCGACCTTAGCAGTAACTCCTTACATAGTTACTTTGAAGAATTCAATATGATTTTTCATGGTGAATCAACTTTTACAAGTCAGATTCACATATGCAATACAGATAATTTGTATACCCTAAATATATTTGTGAGCTTACCCTAAAAAAAGGTCTCCCCATTTCAGTTCTAATTGTATTTCTAATTAAAAACAAACAGACAGACCCTACCTTCCACTCGGGGTCATGCTTTCTTTTGTCCAAAGATGATTTCTCCCGTTCCCTGGCTTTCTTGTAAGCTTTCTTTTCTTCAGCCATTAGAAGTCTAGCGATTTCCTAAACAAAGTCCAGTCAATATCATTGATTGCAAAGTTGCAGGTAGAAAATTGGGACAAATTGGGATAAAAACTGGGATATTTCCAAAGAGTATCAGCTAAACAAATTAACTAACACGAACTCACCTCATCCTGAGCTACCTGAGCTGCTCTCATGTCCACCTGGGTAGCCTACGGTATAGAAAATACAAAAAAGTATAATTTAATTGGAATCTGTGTTGTCCATTTAAAAAAAAAATCTTCATAAAAATAAATTGGTATTTGAAACTAGTGGTGATTAACACCTCTGAAGATGATAATCAGTTGGTATACTTTTGTTAGCCAGAGCAGGGTCTATTTTTATCAAATTCTACAGCGGATTCTTAGAGAATTATCAGAACTCAATAAAGGAGAGACAGGGATATGGAATTCTGTTGCTAATGCTTACTCAGTGAGTACAACTGGACACGTTATTCCTATTGTCTTGATTTTTCCACCCATAAAAAAGTTATCAGTTTCTTGACAGAGAGAGGACTATGATGCCTATTATATAAGGTCAAGATTGATTCAATTCACAAAAAAAACCACTAATTCACCTAAAATTCTGTATTAAAGTTTGCTCACCAAAATTTCTTCTTCTTGCAGTTTTCTGGCAATTTCAGCATCATTCCATTCCTGATCCCTGTTGGTCACTCGTGATGGAGTAGAGACCACTTCCTTCATCCCTCTGGGCTTCATTCCTAGAAAAAGCTCAGTGCAGTAAGGCTACTGAGTGTGTTTTCTGAAAAGTGGCAAAATTTATGATAAAGAAATTTTTCTTCAGTATCTAACAGTGACAATACTGCCTCCACTCTAAAATTCAACGTAGGGTGTGCTGGAAATAATTGTTTCCCCTAGGCATGCAAGACGTGATACAGGTAATCCACACATTTAAAACAAAGTTACCCACCCAAACCTGCTTGGTAAAAACTGCCCTCTCACATAGTTTCTCCAGCAGTAGAAAATCATACAAGGAACTATAAGTGAGGCTTTTGCAAAACAGGAAGTGAAAAAAGATTAAGTCCCTGAAATAAAAAGAATTTAGAGAAAAGCAAGTTATTTGGAGTTTTAAAGAGACTAAACTGTCAAGGCTGGAGGAGATGAGAGGCTTTCCATCTTTTTACCTTGGCCCTGCACACCTTACTTCAGAGGGAACAGAAACAGCATCATCACCTGTGAGTTATGTGACAGTCCCTATTAACCAGTCAGTGGCCCTGCCAAGTGGCTTCTGCTCTTATGGCCTCCAAACCCACTTGCTTTAGAGCTTTCCTATAGCTCTGATCAGCTTAACGTTGCTAAATTTTAGGGAAGATGTAATGTAAGTGAAATGTCAGAGAGCACAATGACCTTAGAGTTCTATTGTTCTGAGGAGAAAGGAACACGGGGACTGGTATGGAATTTTGGCTTTTTACTTTGAAATTTTATAAGCAGCATATATTCCTTTTATAACTTTCAATTAAGTGGTAAATGCTAATGGTTATTCTAAAATTGTGGGTATTTCCTTCTTTGTATCCTTTATAAATTACAATTATTCAAAAATGTGACTGTATTACATTCAAAAATAATAAAAAATTTTAATGCAGTGAATAAGATTAACCATCTGGAATAGTGACTTTCAGTAAATGGATTACTAAAGGGAGAAAGAAAATTTACTCCTAGTTGCCTATTTCTTTACATTAGAGGTTCTCAATCATGTCTATATATTAGAATCACTTGGAGTACTTTACATACACATGAAAATTTTTGATCCAAACCCCTGAGATTCTAATATAAGTAGCCTGGGTGAGATCTGGCCTTTGTTAGTTTATTTTAAATCTTACCAGTTGATTCTTAATTGCAATTACCATTAGAACTACTAGTTTGGTGTATTATGTCCATCAAATTAACTGTACATGAATATAATTTTTATTAAAATGCCTCAGCACATGATTCACTTGCTTTAAACAAAAGAGGAAAAAGGAAAGAAAAAAATATGACTAAATTCTGGGCAAATGAAGAGTTTAAATTATCTGGTGAAGCCTCTTTTTGAACTTTAAACCTAGCTTTGTGGTAAATCCAAAAGCCACAGACTCATCGGCCTTTCCCCAAATAAAGACTATTAAACCTGGCTTTCCTACCTTCAGGTCTATTAGCACCTGATTACCCAGAATTACAGAATCTACTTCAACTTCACATTATCTCTAGAGCTACTGAATCTTATGCTAAGCTGGGCTGGTTTTAACGCAGATTTCTGAGTGGTCTGGGACAGTCAGGAAACAGTGGTATACTCACTCCCAAGAGTAGATAAAACTCCTTGAGTTATGTTTAGCTTAGTCATAACTAGAAGGGAAGATTTCAGGGAAAAATAAGTAAAATTAGATAGGGAAGCTGGCATTGGGAAAAGTCAGTGGACAAGATAGGTTGCTATACCATATGCCCTCCTACAGAAATGGCACTTCCACGAGCAACCCAAAGCCTAGCTGAGGACGACAGGGGAGACACATTTATGCCCTGCTCTTTCAATTTTGCCATCTGGGGAAAGAAGTACAATGGAAATGTGCTCAGATTTCGAGAACTAAACTTTCTCCACTACTATGCCTCTTACTCTACACCACAAAATTAACTGAGAAAATATTTTGTTTTAATATCAATCAAAGATGCTTGGAAGGCATTCAAATGAAACAGTCAAACAGAGTCTTATTTGGTTTGAAAGGTGTTAAGACTGTGACCTCTTGGCAGTTAAAAAGAGAATTACACATGGGAATTCCCTGGTGGTCCACTGGTTAGGACTCCGCACTTACACTGCCAAGGGCTCGGGTTCAATCCCTGGTCAGGGAACTAAGATCCCGCAAGCCACGCGGCATGGCCAAGAAAAAAAAAAGAGAGAGAGAGAGAATGACATACAGATCAGTGGACAAAACAGAGAGCCCAGAAATAAGCCCATGCATATATGTTCAATTAATTTATGGCAAAGAAGACAAGAATACACAATGGAGAAAGGGCAGTCTCTTCAGTAAATAGTGCTGGGAAAACTGGACAGCCACATGCAAAAGAGTGAAATTTGACCACCAACCTATACCATACACAAAAATTAATTCAAACTGGTTTGAAGACTTGAATATAAGACCTCAAACAACAGAACTCCTAGAAGAAAACATAGGCAGTAAGCTTCTTGACACTGGTTTTGGAGATGACTTTTTGGATTTGACACCAAAAGAAAACTCAACAAAAACAAAAATAAGCAAGTGGGACTACAACAAACTAAAAAACTTCTTCACAGCAAAAGAAACCATCAACAAAATAAAAAGGCAACCTACAGAATGGGAGAAAATATTCACTAATCACATACCTGATAAGGAGCTAACATCCAAAATATATAAAGAACTCATACAACTCAACAGCAAAAACACAATCTGATTAAAATAATGGGCAGAGGATCTGAATAGACATTTTTCCAAAGAAGACATACAGATGGCCAACACATACGAAAAGGTGCTGAACATCACTAATCATCAGGGAAATGCAAATCAAAACCACAGTGAGGTATCACACCTCACACTGGTTAGAATTAACTATTATCAAAAAGACAAGAAATAACAAGTGTTGGCAAGGATGTGAAGAAAAGGATACCCCTGTGAACTGTTGGTGGGAATGTAAATTGGTACAGCCACTATGAAAAACAGTACAAAAGTCCCTCAAAAATTTTAAAAAAGTTAGAACTACCATACAATCCAGTAATTTCACTTCTGGGAATTTATCTGAAGGAAATGAAAACACAAACTCAAAAAGATATATGCACCCTGTGCTTACTGCATTATTATTATTTACAATAGCCAAGACACGGAAACAACCTAAGTGTCCGTTGATGGATGAATGGATAAAGAAAATGTTAGATACACACACACACACACACACACACACACACACACACACACAGAGGAATATTATTCAGCCATAAAAAAGAATTAAATCTTGCCATTTATGACAACAGGGATGGACCCCTGAGGGCATCATGGTAGGTGAAATAAGTCAGAAAGAGAAAGGCAAATACTGTACGATTTCACTTATATGTGGAATCTAAAACAAAACAAAAAATCCTGAGCTCAGAGATACAAAGAATAGATTTGTGGTTGCCAGAGTGGGGGTTGGTGGGGTGGGCAAAATGGGTGATGAGAGTCATAAGATACAAACTTCCAGTTATAAAATAAATGTCATGGGGATGCAATCAATGTACAGCATGGAGACTGTAAGTACTGCATTGCATATCTGAAAGTTGCTAAGAGAACAGATCCTAAAAGTCCTCATCACAAGAAAAAAAATTTGTAATTATGTATGGTGACAGATGTTAACTAGACTTATTGTGATCATTTTGCAACACATACAAATATACACTTGAAAGTAATATAATGTTATATGTCAACTATACCCCAATAAAAACAAACAGTTATATTTTGAGGTAATATCTCTCTAGGTCAAATATTTAGAGGGAAAAAGAAGAGTTTATTTGAACTCTTGATATATCTTTGGAACTTGCACGTCTCATAAGTAGAAAATTTCTACAGCCTGGAATACTAGATTTCTGGACTGACAGGACTGCCCATTAAATGCAGTATACTCCGTACCAAAGGTGAAAAGAGCTTTTGTAAGTATGTAATGAGGAACTTCAGATAGTACCGTGTAAGGCTGTCATTACAGAAAACAGAGATGCTCTAAAATGTTATTAAACATAGTTAATTCAAAGAAATTACCAAGATGGCTGCCTTCTTTTTGGAAACCCAAACATAATTTGGAAACTAGCTTTCAAAAAACCAGGTGAACCATACTTTCAAGAGTTCCATGTTCATTTCTTAATCAAATTCTTGCTTATCTTTTTCCGTTCATCATTCTCCAGTCTGAGGACACAAGAATCTCCCTCAATAAACACAAACAAAGCTTACCTTTCAAGAAATTCTGATAAAATAAAACTGTTAAAAGTACTGGTACTCAAGATAAACTTATCCCAAACTATGGAATAAGGTAATCTGATGACACATGGATCCTGATACCATTCAAGAGTATTTTGTAATAAGCCATTCTGACACTTGGGGAATATCATAGCAGCATGGTGTTTAATGGCTCTGAGACGTTGGAAGTTGACCGGCAGAAAATTAATAAGCTGTTGTAATTTAATAGCTCAATAGAGGTGTTTACCCTCAAAGGTGGTACGGATTTACTGCCCTTTAGAAAATTAACCAATCTTATATTTAATTTAACAATTTTATTCTGTGTTCCATTTTCAACCAATTATAAAACCATGTCCTGGGCTTCCCTGGTGGCTCAGTGGTTGAGAGTCCGCCTGCCAATGCAGGGGACGCAAGTTCGTGCCCCGGTCCAGGAAGATCCCACGTGCCGCGGAGCAGCTGGGCCCGTGAGCCATGGCTGCTGAGCCTGAACGTCCGGAGCCTGTGCTCCGAAACAGGAGAGGCCACAACAGTGAGAGGCCCGCGTACCGCAAAAAAACCCAAAACAAAACAAAAAACAAAACAAAACAAAAAACCACGTCCTGCAGATCAATGCTCTTTGCTGTCCTGCTAGTTTCTTCATTATTAAGTTAAATAAAACTTTGGCCTATGCTAACAACTTTAAGAACTGTGCTTTCACAACAGCCACCAGTAATAGACACCAGTATCTAATAATTATATTTTCATGTATCTTCTGACCTATTCTGGGTAGGTGGGGGGGAAGGGCATCACAAATTCAGACGCCTACAGGGCCCACGTCGGTAAAGTTTGCAAAGTAAGTTGAATATAAAATGACAGACGCTAGCAGCTATGTTGTAGCCATTTTAGTAGCTGCCTAGTCACACTGTTTTTAAACCCTTATGCTATTAAAATAAAACAAACAAAACATTTGCCTATAACTCCAGTACTAGGGCCTGTGAGTCAGTGTTTGTTTCATATTAGTTCCACCCTTTCTAAGCCTGTTTAAGATACCCTCAAGTGTACTGAAAGCCATAAAGATTTAACCAGCCCTCAGAGCACACTTAGAAGGTTGGAGTCACAGAATCAGAAATGTAGAGGTCGATGTAATCACCATTCCTCCCCGGTATCTTTTGGACTCCAACATGTCTTTCTAAATCTGGATCCAGTGTAACTTACTCATAAAGCCTACTCCACGTAGATTTTATCACTTCCTCCTCTACTGCCCCACAGCTCTTTGTTAAAAGAATATCAAATTTGCAATTGTTTGTCTACATATCCATCTTTTTGGCTTGACTCATGAAACTTCTGAGGCTCAGATCCAAGCATCCATCCCCAAACATAAAGCCTGAGGCAAGAATATTTGTGGCAGACACTCATTTGGCTTGCTGAGCTGAATTTTCATTTCCTTTATCACCAAGTCCTTTAAAAACTTAAAGGACTAACATGATAGGAAGAGATAACATGAAAGGAGGAACCAAAAGGATCAACCTGAACCTGCAATCTAGAAACTACTTTCCAGACCAAAAGTAGAGGTTGGCTGGGCAACAGTAATGGAAGTTAAGTAAGAACAGTCATCTCCTTGGTACTTTTTTCCCAATAATCCTCGTATCTCTGTAAAACTTCCATGAGAGCAAAACAGAACTAGGGAGATGAGTATGGTCTAATTAAAACACCAGACAGTGCAGTACTATGACTTGCAGTGGTACAGCCACACGGAAAACATCACAGTGGCAGTTTCCAGACAAGAACAGAGAGAACCATTACTATGTCAGTGACAGACTTCAGAGTTAGGCCTCATGGATGCCAGAAATTTGAGGTTTAAGACTAATGTTCACCTCGTTCTTATATAAGTACCAAGAACTTACCTCATATTGGCACTTCAGAACACCCAACTGTAGAGTTAGAGTTGAAGATGGTTAAAGCACAGGAAGGAACTCAAGGCAATTGTTTTCAAACTTTAAGTACATGAGAATCACCTCCTGGTCTAAAACAAACCCGAATTGCCATGTTGCACTCCAGAGATGATAACATATGTAAGACCCAGAAATCTGAATTTTTAGGAAATAGCCCAGCTGATTCTGATGAAAACAAACTTGAGGCTCACTATTTGAAAAACGCTATCTTAAGAGATTGCCTCTCCCATCTCTCACTTTAGAGCTGGGAAAGATGAGGTCAAGAAAATCCAGTACTTCCAGCCCCGCAGGTCTTCTAGTTAGGCAAATACTATGAATGTGGTATTCCTAAACCTTCTGGGTTCACTGAATCAAAACCAGAAACTCAAGAGCATTGCTTTGGTATCAGAATCTGTGATATATGGTCGTGGCAAATTAAAAATTGTATCTGGGATGGGTACCTCCACTGCAATCTGGAGCTGGAAGAATGTTGTAAGGAATGAGTGTATTCTCTTAGAAGGCAGAGATTTGAGATTAAGTGAATACCTTTTTGTAATATTTGGCTCCAGGATTTATTTCCAAGCCAGGAGCACAAGCCAGAGAGAAAGGACAGGTTGTTTACGATGCTTATTAAATACAGTTGTTTGTATGTACATACACGATACCAGAACTTCCAACGAGGCTGTCCTTTATTACCTGCATCATGGAGTTGGTGCCGCGCCTCACTCTCTGAGATGGGAGGAGCCCTGGGCCTGTGCTCCCTCTCTCTGTGCTCACCTTGCCCATGGTTGCTTCTATATACAGCTTCCTTGCAGTGAAGCCCCGCTTTCTGTGGGGCCTTGGGAGAAAGTTGGTCTTGGTGCCTGGACTGTTTTTCCCAATTCCGAGTTCGATAGCTATGGTTAGCCTCCCAGTCTTCCGATTCAGTGCTCAGAAACACCTCACCACTGATCTTGGGGAGAGGAGGTCTTCGGAGCCTCTCATGACCAGATCGTTTCCTTTCAGGCTGCTCAGTGTTAATTTGGGGATCGTCCCTCGCTTTACCCAAGCTAGAGGACGAAAGAGGTTTCTCTGATGAACGATGCTCTTCCAGTTCTTCCAAGTTCTCCTGTGGAGGTTTCGATTTCTGCTTTCTCTGCTTCACAGTCTTTTCCTCACTTTGGAGTCTGTAAGACTTTGAGAAGCCAGAACCCAACTCCCTTGCCCTCCTTGACCGTGGCTGGTCTGAGCGGAGGTGGAGGAATGTGAAAAATAGAAATGCAAGTTAACTTCATGAGTATGAGCTCACTACAGGACAGAGACAGGGCCCAAGTTTAACATATTTTAAAATGAAGAAGATTACTTTTTCAATTTAACACACTGAAACGAAGGGATGAGCATTTGCTGGAATGGTCCCTGCGTACGTGAAGGATTCTGGGTACATAGCCAGAAAGGTAGAAAACTAAAATGAAAGTAAGTGAAAAAAAGTAAATCTGAAAGAAGAGCTTGATCATGATTAGCGAAGAGCTAACACATACTTTAATATTTGCCAATAACAAAAATTCTAGTCATTAAATGTTTAATTCTATTTACAAAACCAATTTGGAACTAGTATATGGGGGAAAATTGAGAGCTGAGGGAGTCTTATAAAATAGAAAAAGAACTAAGCTTTGTGATTCCAGTCAGAGACTTTCAAATATTCTTATTGGAAATAACAATAAATCCGTCAGAATATTGCTAATTTCTACTCAGTCCACTAGAGTGATGAGCCACAGATTTTCATACTCCTCTGTCCTTTCCCCATAGGTGGCCAAAGCCAACGATACCAGCCATGTTAGAGTTCAGTGTGGAAGAAGAGGGAGTAAAGGAGAATTTTAAGTGAGTAAATGACCGTATTATCTTTGGATAACTCTTCCTAATCTCACTTGAAATTCTTCAGAGGAAAAAGTTTAAAAAGAGATGCCATAACAGGATACATAAAAAGGAGTCACTTCCTAAATACATTTCAAAAAACTTTATGATATTTTTTTTCTGGGTATAAAAATACAATATGTGCTAAATATACAAGTCCCTAAGTTTAACACAAACTGCAGAAACAGCACACAGATGGGTGCTTTTTTGTCAGGTCTCATTTAAGAACAAGCAAACTGTGAAAACAAAGGAAGTAAATTAACAATGCACATTGCAAGAGCATATTTATTTTAACGTTTTCTAAGACTTTTACTTTAATTGGGAAGTAACAAAAAGAAATCCTAATTCCGTGGAAAATTGCTAAGATAGCCAAGATTCCCAATTGGAATTAGTCACTTGCTGAACTGCTTTTGAAACAGCTACCGTAATTGGGTGGGATGTAGAAAAAATAAACGACCATACATTTCCTTAGTTATTACGGGTTTTGTTTGCTTGTTTTGGGTTTTTTGTTTTTGTTAAAGTGTGTTATTGTTATCTAATGAAGGAACAGAGGTGGGGAGATGTGTTATATGTATCTCTTATGCCATAAGCTTCCACTAAAAACTCCAAATTGTTTCCTCTTGAGCTTTCCGGAAGAAAAGAACATTTGCCTCAGAGATGACATCTAAATTAAAATCTGTCTTCTAAAAAGTCTGTAGAGGTATTTATCTTCATAATTTATGGAAAACTTATTTTTTACATAAGCAGAAGTGAAACAGAACAATTACTCTCTGTAATAAAATAAAGTATCTACTCTTTTAGCCAAACTGTTATTTTAGGAGTATCTTGACAGCTGGGAAAGAATCACTTCACTACTGCTGTAAATTAACATAATACTGACCAGCTACATAAATGATGACCCCAACTAGGAGACAATGGTTTAGTGTTAATACCTATGTTCCCACAGAAAACTGCAGGAGCGAAGCCTGCCTTTAAGCCCAAAAAGAGACAAGAAAGGTTTTGTTTTCAACATGGATTTGTCAAGTTATGACTGTTTTGTTTTTTATTTTTACTTCTTTCTAAAAAGTTAACAAATATTAGTAGTTTTACTTTAGGGAAGTGTGTTGCAAGAATTAGAACAGAGCTGTCACTATGTTTTTACAGAGTTGACAGGAAAAAATATTTATTGTGATCACTTGTGATATCTTTAAACCTGGGAAAGAAAAAAAAAAAAAAGAGACGGGGTGGAGGAATCTGTTTGAATCCTTTAAAACCCAGTTCAGTTAAGGATTGAGACTTTTATGTTTCTTGAGACCAAGTTATTTGGCAAATATAATTAACTTCCTTATAGTCAATACATACATACATACATATACATGTATATACGTATACATATATATACACCCACACATATGTTTGCATATATATATATGCATATATATGCAAACATTTGATTTGTGTGCTTCCATGTTTGTCTTTCAAAATAAAATGGTTTTTGTTTAAATAGACAAAATACTATGTAGTACACATATTACATTAATATATGTATAAATAATAGTACTTTAGAGTTCGTAAGTCTTCAGAAAAATTATGTTGTTTAATCTTCTCAACATCCATGCGAAGGATTTATTTTTAGAATCTCCATTTTAGAGATGAGAAAAAGGCTCAGAGTGATTACAGGAGATAACTTCCTGAACAGTACAATTTTTCTAAGGAATGGATGAAACGTGAATCAAGGTCTAATGACTCCAAAGACCATGACTTAAAGTCTCTAATATGCTTGCAATACAGGTAAGTGGCTTTGAAAAAAAAACATGGATTCATAAATGAATAAGATATACCATTTCAATCGATATAAATCTGACAGATGTTTTGGATAATTTCAGATTTGTAGAAAATCTATAAATGATTATTCTTAAAAGATTAATTTATTAAAGTTTAAGTAAAATGAAAGCTAAAACAAACACTTCTGTAATGATTTGCTGTGATTATTATAAGACAGACAAAAATCATATTGCACGCAAAGAAGTACAATTAAAGAATATCCCTTACGTGTTGGGAAAGGACCACTGTAAAGAACATAAGGCTGCTTTGTAAATATGAGCTGGACTGCAATACGGTTTCTGTGGAACTCAACTTAGTCTAACTCAAAGGCATATAAATGAAGATCATGTGCTCAGCAATATATCGTCTCCCAACAACAACACAACTGAAGAGAAATTCCAACAGTACTTTACAGGCACATGCTCAGAAGGTCATTGTTTTCTCTTACTAATCCCCCCCAACTCCAAAAAAGTAGCATATATGCCATTCTCCATAACTTTACAAAAGCAGTTAAATAGAGATTTGTAAAAATTTTAGGTGTCCCTGAAAATCCATGGAATTCTTAACATAGTCTAGAGAGATGAAACAGTATGTCAGCAGTCTGGTCAAAACCACCAGGCTTGAGTCCCAATTCAAGTTAGTATAAGGTTTTAATAGAGGAATGCTAAAATTAGTACTTTAGTGTACTTAATTTACTTACCACCCTAATGTTTTATGCCAGACCACATTTCTAAGATTTTAATTAAAGCTGACGAGTAACTCTTTACCTTCTGACCTCTAGTACAGAAAAATACGGCAATAATTTTTCTTTTTAAATGATGTACTACATTTGATTAGAAAGACCAGCATAAGGAAAATGGCTATCAACAAAGAGCTGAGCATTTTACATATGGAAGAACAACACGCCAAGCAATAAGTAGAGAATCAACCTGCTTACTGATTGTGTTATAGAGCTGAGCTCTACTGATTAGGATAGATTTAGAACACTGTGACTGCAAGACTCAAACTATAATAATCCTATCACCTACATATATGTATCTTTCATTCTACTCATCAAAGACAAATACCTACTTACCTTTTACAATGAAATTATAGAAAAGCAATTGACAATTAATTTTCAAGGGACTTGGGGATTACTGACCTAAAAATCTTTACTCTCTAGAAGCTGCTTTTAGATTTTATTTAGCTGGTATCCTAAGTATAGTCTCCAAGCTGAACTACAATAAATACTGACACTAAAAACCATAGGAAATGTCTTTCCTTTGACAGACCTTTAAAAAGGACTGAACAATATTTGTCAATACTCGTTTCCCAACACACTTTTAAGATAAAGATTCACCACCACCACAAGTGCCACCACCACACCATCACCACCACCACCACTGCAAAAGCAAGCACTAGAGAAGGGATCTCTCTATTTCAGAAATTTTTCTATATGGTAATCAAATAGCAAAGAAAGCATCAAGAGCAAAAAAGGAACAGAGAATCTTAAAATTCAATTTTGTCATCAGCAGGTTAACCCATTGGCCTAGGTTTAAAAGATAAGAAGCATGGAAAAAAAGCTTTGGTATCCAGTAACTGATAAATGCTGTACCTCCTTTATTATTTGCGCCACTTTGCTGCTTCAAACAGTACTGTCCAGATTTCCTTGAGAAAGATCAAGCCCAGAGACTCATATACCACTTTTCCACACCCCAGTTTATGTGCTTAGAATGTAATACAACATTCCAAGTAGCAATAGTGCAAAAGAATGCATGACAAATTTTGCTAAACTATATTCAAGTTTTAACAGCCATAAAAATGGCTCTGGTCATCCAACTAAAGAACAGATGAATTTATTAGATAAGATAAAATTCCACCACAAATCTAAAGGGGCCCTAGGGTCACTTTACAGACAAATTCAAAGGGGTGTCTTGCAACTGAGTCTAAGGATAGAGTAGGTCATGATGCAAAAACTTACCTCCATCTTCATAATAGTAACTATCACCATAAGCATTGGCTCCAGGGGACTCTGGAAAGTGTTTTTTTCGCTTTTTCTCTTCCTGTAACTCTTTTTCTTGCAAGAGTCGAGCTATGTCCTGCAAATACAAAGAGAAGGGAAATAAACATTACCAGAGAATGAACAAACTCCATACAGTGACCCTACAGGTCAATGGTTTGACATTCCACTGCCAGGCTTTTGTGGCTCTGCCTCCAGCTAGGCTCTCTAGACTTCCTGATATTAAGCTCCTTCTGTCCAAATGCCACAGATGACTGCTCAATAGGAAGGGCACAAGATCCAGATGAGAGGGAAAGGGGAAAGGTTTTTTTTAATTGAATTTAAATCTAACTTAACTTGAAGACATTCAAATGTAATGTTCCTAAAGGTGGTTATAGAACAGAATTTTTTAAATACATATTTATGGGCCCTTTTTCCAAGATGATGATTCACTAAGTCTGAATGAGGAAGAGTACCATAATCTATAAACTTTTATAAACTGTATTTACAATGTAATTTGAAAACTTTTTTAAAAGAATTTTTCAGTTGGTTCTCATTTAGCTTTGCATTAGAGGACCACCGTCTTAACTAATAAAAAAGAGAAAACAGTCTTCCTCCTGTCTCCCCTCTGCTCTATCTCCAGGCAAGTTTTTAGCAGTTACTGAGTGATGAGTAATAACATTCTGACTGCGTCCCCTAAACGATTACCGTCCCCCATGAAAACAAAGGTATATGCAAATAGCTGCAATACAGCTGAATTATAAATGCCTCAAAAAAGAGGGTAAAATGTCTATGGGAGCACAAAAGAGGGAATATTATTTCTACTCAAACGGATTAGTTCAAGGCTTTGCATTAATGTTAGGTTTTGAACAAAGAACTGGATTCCAACGGGTAAGGGAAGAACAGAGAACAGCATCAGCAAAGTTATAAATATTTTAATGGGCATCAATCTAGGGAAGAACCAATAGTCCAATTAGAACACTGGATGTGGGGTGTTACAGAGAAAGGTGAGGCTAAAAAACCAGGCAGAAGCTGGATCACAGGCGCCCCTTACAGACAATCTTAAGAAGTCTGGCATCTGTAATGTAAGGGATGAGGGGTTCCTAAAGGTTTTGAGCTAGAAAGTGACAGTGTTCTGAATTTGAAGATTATTTCTATGAAAGGCCCAATAAAATAGCACATAAACTTTATTCATGTACACTTTTTTGGAAAAAAGATCCCTAGCCATTATCAGATTCTTAAAGATCTTACAAATATGACAACAATACTCACCGATGCAAATGGTAATAATAGCCATAGGTAGTTTGAGGGGCTAACTTCTTTATATTTACAATGAGGAATATAAGATGTGCTCAGATGTAAATGGTGCAAATTTTGGGGCAAGAATTAATCACTATTCTTCTTTTTGCAATTTTCTGAATAAGTCAATGTGAAGAATATACTAAGACTGCAAGGCAAATAAAATTCATCTGAATGACTCAATTTCTCTTATATCAGTGGAGCAGTAAGTTGGATACTGAGGCTAGGTAAATTAGCAAACGTTATCCATATACTTGGCTTTTAATGCTCACAAAATAGCCTTACAAACCTGACTTTATGTTAAGTACATGCCTAAATTCAAACTTATAAATATACTATTAACATATATCCTTTAACTGATTTCTATGCTGGAAACTTCTCATAAGTCTGTAAAATATATACATATATATTTGATAAGTAATCCATGTAAAAGCACTCACAAAATACCGCAGCTCAGAATGAAAGGTAAAGAACACAGTCCCACTTAAAACACAAGTATAATTTTCATGCAAAGAAATCTGAATTTCTAATACTCTGATGGAAAAAAATCCCCTAAACCTAAAGAATATGATGATTTTCTTTTGCTCTTCCAGTTCAAGTCAGAGATGCTTTAGAGACACTGGGACAGAAACATTGACTACTAAAATGGATTTCTTTGGGCCTGAATTCTTTATCTGTAAAATAGAGTCTGAACTACTCAACCTTAAAGTCAAATGTCTTGACACCCTAATGCACCATTGTAATAAATCTGAGAGTGTTACCAGGTGCCATCCCCTGTGCCAGGTTCATTCTATTTGATGTCTTGCAAAGCAATATACCAGTCAGTTAGGAAAAGAGAGAGGTGTGACAAGATAATTTATTCTCGCCAAAGTAATACCTGTTACAGAATTTCCCAAATCCCTATTTATTTTACTGCACAAGTAGGAAGAAAATGTAAACACTTCCCTGAGTTTTCATGTTTACTAAGCACCCAACATTCATTTTCCTAAGTGGTTTGTTTTACTGAAAACAAAAAGTTTCCCTTGATATAACTGAATAAAAATATAAAGGAAAATTACCAGGTCCAACTGCCAGTAGAAATTATTAAACTCTACTCCAGGGACTTTATAATTGCTTTGCTGCTATTGAATTTGGTCCTAATTAATACATAGTAATAAGCCTTCTCAATGTGAAGAGCCAAAGTTGAACCAAAGAGAAACAAAGGTGATGCCTCTTTTGTACAATGCATTAGCTAGTCAAAAGGAGGGCTTTTAACCGAGTAGAATAATAATAATCATAATGTGTCATGCACCTTAGCACCCAAACCCTTTGCTGTTTTAACCTCTCAGCTCTTTTCTGAGTAAGCTTCTTCTGTCTGAGAAGAACAGCTAGCTAGACTTGAGGAGTGAAAGGAAAATTGCTGCTATATTATAAACTGTGCTTTAGCCCAAGTCAGTTTTCTTCCCTGCTCTCCAACATTACTGCACAATGGGTTTAGTTAGGTGATTTCAATATAAAAAAATTTCCCCTGAAACAAGCTAAAGATGGCAATTATTAGTCACAATGCTTGGATGCAGCTTAGTCACCCTTGACATAAACAACCTCCTTAGTCTTCAGCCTCCTTCCTGTTAAAGGTTAGTCTAGAACAGCATTTCTCAAGCTCTGTTTCTGAGAACACTGGTATCAAAAGTTTCTCCAAATAAACCAGAAAGCATTCAACAGAAAACATGTATTATATCTAACTCTTTAAACACATTAGCTCATTTTAACACTTTGATAAAAGAAAAGTAACCTGTTACCTTCCTGTAACCCAGGAATTTCCAAATTTATTTCGTGACAGATGCCTTTTTGTTACATAAAAAAATATAAACCTTATGAAACTAGTGTTCAATAAAACATAACTTGGGGAAAAAATCTAAAAGAACTCATAAGCCCTTTTGAAGTCACATTCAATTATTTTTTAATTAATCAGGTAGACTTACTTTGGGTTAATATGTAGAAACAACTCTGTTGCATACAAGACTTTCTAGTAAATACCTTTATTGAAACAACACTCAACTCTGGAATACTGGAAGCTGTGAGCATAAGTAAGGGCACAGGTAAGGATCCCTGGAATGCTAGAGGAAAGTTATTTTAAGAAAAACACAGATTTACTGATTCCCTTCAATGGGTCAAACATTCTGCTAGAGACCTCCTATAGGGAAACAAGATATGTGGTCAATATCGTTAATGTTCTTATCTATTAAGTGCTAGAAGAAAAGTGATTAACCTAATGTAAGACACGCAAAGATGGGTGCTCTAAGAGAAGCATTCATACAATCAAGGTGCAATGGAACCCAGAGGAACCCCACGCATCTTTCTCAAGTAGAAGACAAATTACTGAACTGTGGTGCTGGATCCCTTAGGGTATTTTTATGGTTTATATGATTTTATATCAGGGTTACTTCCCCCTTAAAGTTTTCGCCTCTATCATACAATAGTACTGGGATTCAAAATGAGAAAATCTTGGGTATAAAGACAAGCTAAAGGAGATCTGAAAATGTGATTGTCAAATGACTGTCAGAAGAACAAAAAAAAGGAAGCCATTCCATTAGATTGCTAAATTTCTTTTATTAACTAGCAATTAATATATTAACATCTAACTCAGTAGGGAACTCAAAGCAGGAATAATCCCAAAAGGGTTACTCTATAAGACCAGAAAAAGAGGGTAACACCAATTCCATTGCTATAAAAACATCAGTATAACTAGGATAAAAAGAGAGAAGAATTTTCTCAACCAGAAGAAACCCACTCACTCCCCATCTGGCTATATATGTATAAACCTATTTCTAAAGTGCCAAAACATAGGAAAAAATTTCAGTTGCTAAAATTATTATTATCTGAGCTATTCTCTAGATATTACCAACTTATATAAATATTTTTTTAGAACACAAATTACTAATGACCTTAAGAATGCTATGAAAAAGTACCGTGCCTCACACTAGATTAATTTTTAATGTAAATTGGTTACTAAGTTTATCCCTGAACAGTTCACATTATAAATGGCTCCAAATTGTTGGACTAGTGCCACAGACTTTTCATAACATGGTTGGCCATGCTACTGTTTATTTACGCAAAAAAAAAAAAAGTTTTTCACTAAAATAGTTTCATATTCACATATATTTGGACCTAGGTTCAAAGACACACATATGTATAAATTCACACACAATTAGTTAAGAGTTTTATTTAAGAATAACTGAGTTAAATCAACTAAACACACATTTCTTGGCTTCATTAAACAACACTGACAAATGCTAAAGCTGTGACCAAAGAGAAAGATCCCAATAAAATTAATCCCCCCATATTAATCACAAACTCATACAGTCCAGTATTACCAAAGGCTACAAGCCCCTTCAACAGGGCACTGAGAGGAAGGAAGGAAGGAAGAGGGAAAGAGAGAAAAGAGGGAGGGAAAGGAAGGAGGGAGAGGCCACAATGCTGGTAAGAATACAAAGGATCTTTTTTAAACTTTTCTACATCTGTCTCCCCAATGGAAATGCTACCTTCCTTACATCTGTGCTCTGTTAAAAAACACAATAAAATTATACCATAACAAAGCTAGACATGCTAATTCACCCACACAAAGTCGTATAACGCTACTCAGGAACAATGTTGTTCAGAAAAAAATCTGTCCCAAGAGGAAAGGGGCCTTGGATCTACATTTGTTTTGGGGGACTAGGAACTACCCAAGAGAGTTGACCCCAAAAATCTCTAAAAGAGATTTGGGTGAAAATCCAGAGAGGAATTTTCCACAGCCCTGCGGTTCAGTAAGAACTCATTAGCTAGGCAGACTCTACAAGGAAGCAGAAGAGCATGGGGGCGGTGACGAGGGGGGAGAATTCGGACCGTTGATGAGTAACAGGCAATGCAAAGTTGGACAGAAAAATCAGCACAATTGTCTTAGTCTCCCCTATTAGGCACCCTGGACTAAAATAAATAAGGATTATCATACATCCTTCAACATCAAACTTTACTAACGCAGATTTTGTTTATTTAATATTACAACATACTAGTCAGCTGGAAGTCACATTTTTCTACAACAGAAGAACATCTTGGCGGGACAGCCATCTAATCTAAGGCATCAGTGAAAAGTCAAAAAAGTCTGAAAGCAGTTTTTTAAAGGCTAGTCTCACTAAACGTCCACAACTGGATTTCTCATCTCTCACTGCACTGCACTGGGGAAGGGGGAACATTGCAGTAGGTCAAACAATAGTGGAAGGCAGTGTAGTAGGACAGCAGCAAAGCATAAACTCCTGAAGATCCCTCAGATCAGACCACACTAGAACACACCTAAGCCTGTGTATTGTTTCCCCTTTCTAATTTCACGCTTATCTCCCTGTAAGAGAAATCAGAGTTGTTGTAAGGGGCAGAATGGTGGGGAAAACACCTGGCAAGAAAGCAAAAAGGAAAGAGCAACTATTAATTTAATATGTGGCAGAGACTTTATATACTTAATTTTATTTAAACTTCACAACAGCCCTTTGGGGTAAGTGTGGAATTACCATGGACTTCTTCAATTTGGAACCTGAGGCTCTACGTGGTTAAGTGAGATGCTGAGAGTCTCAGCTAAAAGTTAAATGGATAAGATTCAAACCCAGGATAGTCTAACTCCAAAGTCTCTGTGTTCTATGTTGTGTCTCAGTACATCCAGGTCAGAGGCGGTCAGTCAGGAGACTGAACTGTACAGACATTTCTCTGGCATCTTATTGTAGCTTGGGACCAGTCATTTACTTCTTCAAGACTTAATTTCTTCATCTGATAAACGCAGTTATTCACTACACTACACACTTTATATAGTGTAACAATGAGATTATTGTGACTGCTATTTAGATTCCACATGCGTAAAATAAAGTATTTTGGTTTCCCGAATACTGTTTTTCCCCGAAAGGGGTGGGGGGAGGGGGGGGAATTACAGGACACCAGTAGCATTTATAAGAAGCCGACTTCGTTACTCTGTGATATTTAAAATAGAAGCTTTTCTGTCTACAAAACATAACCACTTCTTTCGGTTGCCAGTTTCATCTCCAAGGCAGTCTTGACTATAGAGATGCAACACATCCTGTAGTAAGAAAGAGCTCCTGTGTTGCTAACAGGAAGGATGAAAAGGAATCCTTAATTCCTACTTACAACTCTGATCATCACATAATCATGGTTTGTTTCTTAAAGAAATAGCTAATACGCTCACACCAGGCGTCTCACACTCACCTGGCATTGAACAAGGAGTTCCAGAGGAACAAGGATGGCTCAGTGGAGGAACAGAAGATGCAGGCTGGTTCACTGATAACCCTGATTATATCTATTTAATAGGGTGATCGTATGTGCCAGTTTGCCCAGGAGAGTCCCAGTTTATGTACTTATTAATAGCACCCACTTTAACCCTGAAAAGTATTTCTGAGTATGCAAAATACCATATGGTCGTTCTACTATTAAAAATAATAAATCATTTTTTCCTTATTATAAATCAAGACAATGGCCAAGAACAGCACAATAGGTGTAAAAAAAGCAGACAGAGAATCAATGTAAATTGAAAAGGAACCATTTGAAATGCTGAAAACATAACACAAAAGCAAGTGATCATTAAGCGCAAATTCAAGTCTTCTCACAAACCATACACTACTGCTAATTTTAACCATTTTCAGCTTTAAAAACAACACAGTTTAAAAATATATACAGAATCAAACAGATCATTGTTTTGAGGCAGCATATCGCAGGAGAGTGAAACCATTAACAAAAAAGAATGAGAGCAATGAACAGTCCCTGACTCCTGTTCAGGCTACACTCAAGGTCTGCTCTCCCTAAAGTTGTGGGAATAACCCGCAGACAGACACCCAGTATTGAGCTGGAGCGTCCCTTAAAAATTCATTTATACCAAGAACTTCAGAGCATGATCTTATTCGGAAATAGGATCTTTGCAGATATAATTAAGAGGAGATCATACTGGATTAGGGTGGGTCCTCAATCCAAAGACTGGTGTCCTTATAAGAAAACAAAAGGACAAAAAGATACAGGGAAGAAGGCCATGTGACAATAAAGGTAGAGACTGACATGATGCAACTACAAACCAAGGAATGCCAGACAGCCAAGAGCCACCAGAAGCTAGAAGGAGGCAAAGAAGGATCTTTCCTAATAGGTAGCATGGCCCTGCGAACATCTTAATTTCGATTTGCAGCCTTCAGAACTGTGAGACAGTAAAGTTCTATTGTTTTTTTTTTGTTTTGTTTTGTTTTTTGCGGTACGCGGGCCTCTCACTGTTGTGGCCTCTCCTGTTGCGGAGCACAGGCTCCGGACGCGCAGGCTCAGCGGCCATGGCTCACGGACCCAGCCGCTCCATGGCATGTGGGATCCTCCCAGACCGGGGCACGAACCCGTGTCCCCTGCATTGGCAGGCGGACTCTCAACCACTGCGCCGCCAGGGAAGCCCAAGTTCTATTGTTTTAAGCCACGTTTGTGGTAATTTGTTACAGTAGCCCTATGGAAACGAATTCACAATTTATGTCAAATTATCCATTATCATCTTTTAAGATTTCACCACTTAAACAACTGGTCAAAGGGCAATAAACAGTGGTTCATGGAGGGCGACACTTGGACTATGCACCCCAAAAGGGGAGAGTTCTTCTGCGCATCCAGCAACCCTACACTGAGCCCGTGAATACAGAAAGTCACAGCTCTGGAGCTGAGCAGCCCTCCTCTGTGGGGTGGAGGGGCATTAACTAAGTTGTACCTCATCCTTCTTCTCCTGAATGCGTCGTCTCTCGGCCTCAATAGCCAGCTTCTCCTGAATCTCCTGAGCAATTTCACAGTCTTGTTGTTCACTAAAACACAAAGGTGAAAACAGCATGAATAAAGAACATAAGGAATGATTTTTCCTAAACACAATTTCCTGAATACTCACTATGAGCCAGTGCATATTTTTATCTCACTTAATCTTCACAATAATGATGCAAAGAGGTTGATATTGTCATATCCTACAGATGAAAAAACTTGAGGCCCAGAGTAGTGGAATCATTTCCCTAAGATTGCAGAGAAAATAAGTGGTAGAATCAGAATGTAATACCCAGACACTACAACGGAAAGCTCCAGGCTTTTTCTATACTACCATATCACCTCACCCTACTGGGGTCGCTTTACAGAGACAGGCATGTTCCCTCAAAGGAGATGTATACTATGAGAATAAGGTCCACAAATAACCAAATACGTACAGAAAAAAATTGGGAGTGAGTTCACTAAAATGTCAATAATACTGTGGCCACCTAGAGGTGGTGGTATGACTTTAAAATGATTTTTATAAATTTTTTAATTAGAGGCATTTTTTTTCAGTTTCAATAAAACTTTTAAAAAGGGGGGAAAAGAAACCCAATGTATATTCCCTAGCTTTAGGTCCCAGGAGAAACCTCTGTGGCTGATGCCAGTTTTCTTAATACTCTGGCCACTAAAAAGCCCAAATGTTGTAATACGGCTGCTACCACAGTTTTGTTTTGTTTTGGCGTTTGTGCATTCAAAAAGATTCAAACAACACCTGCTATCATCCAGGCACCACGCTCAACACTGAGGATACGAAAATAAATAAATCTCCATCCTGCACTCAGAAGCCGACAGTACATTTTGGTGGGAGAAACAAGACAAATCATTTTGGTGGGAGAAATAGATCCTTTAAAACAGGACCTATGAAACAGTGGTTCCAACAGAAAATGGGGTTTGGATCTCTCAGAGATGGCTACAGGTACACCAGTCTTCTGGCTGCAGATTTCAAGAAAAGTCACTGGGCAGCTTATAACTCTAGAGTGTGATAGTGCTGGGCAGCCAACCTTTACACAGCCTTTACAACCTTTAACTGCTAACTAGGAGAGAGAGAGCACGTTTAGAGTTCACTATCTAAAAAGATGCTGGAACAAAATTACAATTGTGGTTTATATATGCAGTTCGTTTGCTACACAAATATTTCCTCTTATTCTCCCCCTGCCAGTTGAACTTAAAGTACTCAGTTAATCTAGTCTTGGTTGTATATTCCATGTTTAATGGCAGTCTTTTATAACTGAAAAGTGTTGGGTGTTGGGGGCAATATCCTAACTTCTCTGGAGGAATCGAAATCCATACATTCTATTCTAACAAAACTGAGGGGATGAAGACTATTCTCATTTGTATAAAGAACTGGTCACTTTCAACATGTTGGGAAATAGATGTAGGTGAAAGTAGATGTGTGCACACATGGGGGTATGTATGTATGTGTATAACACACATACAGGACAGAAAGGGAGGAAGGGAATACAAGATAGAGAACACAGGCCAGAAGCAGAAATGGCAAGCTTTTTTAGAATCAGTAGAAAAATCACTGGACAAGATGCCTGGAGACCTGATTTCCAGTCCTGCCACTGTTAACCAGTGAATCATGCACTCTTATGTCGTCTTATCAGCTATAAAAGTTTTTGGACTTAATGACTTCATATTACAGGTCTAACATTCAAGGATTCTGAACCATTCAAACCACAGAATTGAAAATAAAAATATACTCATTTTTTATTTCCATACCCTCTTTTCACTTACTTTTTTTTTAAACTTACCAAAAAGTGTTTATTAATCTAGTTTTAAGAATATGGAATGTTTCACAAATTTGAGTGTTGCTTTGGCAAACGCTCAGAGTTTATTTCCCCTGAGTCCCTTAAAGGCAATGGCTATGTTTTATTCATATCTGTGCTCTCTGGTGCCTTTCATGGTGGCAGAGTTATTAGCAAGAGTCAGTAAGAATGTTTATGTACAAAATAAGGAAGCTGAATAAAATCACGAATAAAGTCCTCTCTGAAAATAATAAAATAGAAAAACCCTTCCTCAAAGGCAGCAAAAATAATAGGCTATCCTGTTTATTTAAACATGACAACGAAAGTAAATAGAAGGGTCCCTTCACTTCCTCCTTTACCCCTTCCTCCTCAAAACAATTTTGTGGTTAAATCCACCATTAGAGATTTAGGTATAGGAGCCTCTCTCAAAGAAGAAAGGTACTCTGTGAGCCTTTAAAACATGAAAAAGAATAAAAAGTCATTGTGCTGGAAGAAACCTTAGACATGATCTCTCCATTTAGGAGGAGACAGAGAAATAACTTTGGTCAGACACTGAAGTTATGAAGAGAACTAAGGGTACGATTCAGAGCTTTCCAAAAGATTCTGCCTCTACTTAAAAAGCAAGGGGTTTGGGACTTCCCTGCGGTCCAGTGGTTAGGACGTGGTGCTTTTACTGCTGGGGCACAGGTTTGATCCCTGGTCAGGGAACTAAGACCCTGCAAGCTGTGCGGCGCAGCCACACAAAAAGAAAAGCCAGGGGTTCGAGGAAAATAGGAGTAGCAAACACTGCTAGGAAACAATAAAGGAACCCAAAAGACCTCATAAAGTTCTTTGACATCCAGTATTTCGCTGGATTCCCCCCAAAAGCCCAGGAGGCAGAGGGGACAGAGATCATTTGCCCACTGTACAGGTAAGGAAAACTGAGTCAGAGAGGTGGACCAAATGACTCAAAGTCATCAGTGAAGAGTGTTGGGTCCACACTAGAAACCACATGTCCCAAAACCTAGTAAAGTATTCCAACAACAAAGACAATTTTTTTAATTCAAAGAAAACTATGGGATAGTCACTGTAGGATTTGTAATCTAATAGTGAAAGGAATCAGAGGAACAGATGGAGAGTCCTCTTCCCTGCCCTGGTTGCTGACTCCACAGAGAAAACCAGTCCGGGCATGATGCCCTCCCAGTCCCCAAGTCCTCACAGGTCTTTGTAGCGCTTCTGCAGCTGAGCCTGAGCTTTCAGGTCTTCCTCTTGAAGCTGCTTAGCCACCTGGAGATCATGCTGGACCAAACGGTTCCGCTGAACATTCGATGCCAAATGATGCTCAACTGGATAGTAAAATTGGAGAGAGGAATTATAATGCTTTGGCTTATTAATGATAAACCTGAGAATAAACTTAAGAAGAGCCTTTCCATTAAAAAGGGCTTCACATCCATCATTTCATCTTATGCTCTAAATAACACTATATAATACGCAGCACAGGAGTTATTATTTTCATCTTTGCATTGCAGAAAAAGAGAATCAGACAGGTTAAAGTAATTTGTATTGGGCACAAGATAAAACAGTGGCAGTGCCAGGACTTCTACTCAAATAATCTAAAACCAGGGCCAGTGCTCTTTCTGCTCTACAAGTTGCCACCTTATTTATAAAATACTATTTCAATACTGACACACGAATTAATGATTCACAAATTACAAATTCATACTTACGTACTTCTGTATAACACATATAACTTAGATTTACTATTCATGAGTACATACATAAAAAATTCAGAAAAATCTACAAGCTAGACACTGCCCTCGCCTGGGAAAAGATGTTCAGGCCTCCTATTCTAGGGGAAGGAACCCATCCCTCTGCCAGCCTTCTACACACCCCCGATGCATGTATAACCACTATCTCCCTCCTATAGCACTAAGGCAAAGGAAATGGTTCAAGTCCCTCTTTTCCTCTGATACATCCAACAGTCTTCTCATCCCTAGCAGCTATCTGACTTCAAAACACCCAGAACTTCATTCTTCACTGAGGTGTCATTTGCCTAGACAGATCCCTCAGGATGGATGGGTGATATAACCCGATGACTCTGTTTTCTCCCTGCCTCACTCTGAGAAATCTGCCTCAAGCTACCACTAAAAAAGAAAACTGAAGGAGCACGCAGAGGGCTATTACTCACTCTCTTGTTCCTGCAGGCTGTGGGCCAGGGTGTGGTCCTCCAGGACAGCAAAATCTCGGCACACTGCAGAGGATGAGGGAGAAGGGCAGACAGAAAGGCTCATTAGTACTACTTTAACATAAAAAGAAAAAGATCTTGTTCAGGACTTCAAAGACTCCAACCTAATATTTTAGGATGATCAACTTTATAACTCGCAATGCACAAAACAGTGACTAGTTAGTATAAAGTCTTCATTCACAAAAATCCACATAGTACCTGCTCAGGGCCAAGAACAAGGTGTCACAAAATAATGGTTAGGTCCCTGGCCTATGGAAATTAATCACAGAATCAGAAGGCAGAGGCCCAGAAATTCTAACCCACTTCTATAAAGGACTGCTGTAATAATAAGAGACAAGAATGTTTCACACATTGCAGCTGAGAAAAATCTGAGTTTTTGCATGGTCAGAGGAGTTAAGCCATCTGGGATTCAGAGGATCCTTTCCCAGAGACTTATGTGTATCCTGGTGCTCTAAAGGAAAAACACACCTTTATTAGTCCCTTAGGCAGGAGCGGATCTCTACTTTAAGTGTAGTCACATTCTTCAATGGGTCCACACCCTCAGACACAAGTTAGAACTGGTTCTCTAGGTCTCTATAAATATAGAGCTGCCTAAAGAGAGCCTGCAAACCAAAAGACAGTGGGAACCTTGGAGGGTACCAGGCATCTGCCCCTAACTTTGCCTCCATCTGGAGAGCCAGGCAAGAGCATTTCCTGAACTACTTTCTTAGACACAAATAGGAAGAGATGGTCTTAAAGGTCCATTCCACTCCAAACTGTAATTTAAACTTCTGCTTCTTAAAACAAACATACATATGAAGGACTCTTATCATGAAAAATGCTGTTTTGTTTGTTTTAAGGACGTGTAGTTTAGGTGATATATCCTTACTCTATTCCAAACATGTACGTCACATTAAAGAGGAAAGTTCCCAAAGCCTCAGACTATTGCAATGTGTAGGACTCATGAAACTGTCCTCTAGGGCTTACCAGAGTTTACAGATTTCTTTCTGCAGCTCTGACTTTGTCTGTGAAGACATTTAATTAAAACAGAATGAAAAAACATTCCTTTGCCATTCTTAGCACTTATGTATGTTCACATACACATTCACACAGCCCTGTCCCTCGCTGAGAGATAATGCAACAAAAAAGCAGGCAGGGCTTGGAGACGTCAAGATTACTCTGAAAAGGTTTTATGATGGAAAAATCATTTCTGCCCCAAAATCATATTAAACCGAATATGAGCTACTTAGCCCTGGCTCAAATGCAACTACAAAACCGGCAATTTCAATAGAAAGTCCTGTTCTTTTACATCCAATATATTCTCAGCAAATTCTAACAACTTGAGGCCCAGGTCAAAGTTCCCCAATATTTCACAGAATGAAAGTGCTTTCAAGAAGAGCTAGTTAAACCTCTTATTTAACAGGTGAGGAAAATAAGGGCCAGAAGAAAGAAAGGGCTTATGAAGGCTGTAGACATAGTTTGCCGGTGGCCGGGCTGGGAGTCAGTTTCTCAGCAAGCAAGAGCTCTTCCTGCTCATGGCAACCAGCCCTCCTGGACTCTGGTAAACCACAGTCGGAACAGACTGAAAGAAGATATTCTATACTGACCAACATGCATTCTCTAAAACACTTAGCTGATTGACATTAATTAATTAAATGTCTAAGACACGTATGGATTTAGTTCACAGAGAACAAATATTCAGAATGAATATTTTAAAAAGTGTGAAAGCCACTTCAATTTATGTTATTAGAGCAGAAAGGTATGCCAAAACGATATATTTTATATGCTTTTAATATTATGCTGAATAAAATAAAAATTATAAAATTACTACAGTTTTCCATGTGAATAACTGCAATATTTTCATGTTTTTTATTTCAGTCAGCATGACATTAAAAATATAATGTTTATGGATACATATACCTGTAGTAAAAATATATGGTCTAATATCTGGCACTGACATAGTGACCCCTAGAGACACAAGCAAAGGGGCAGGTGTGCCTTGACTATATATATGCTGTTCCACTGCTTTACAAACAAACTAGAGAAGACTGAAGGAAGTGAGGCAAAATATTAACATCTATTAAATTTAGGTGATAGGTTCCTGGGTTTCTATATTTTCTGTGCTTTTTGTAATGTTTTACATATACTGCACTTAAATTCTACAGCTAAATATAAAAACTTTTAAAATTCACATCTTTATTTCATCAGCAGCACATATAAACCATAAACATGATGACGCATTTGACATATCATAATACACCAAGGAATTTATGAATTTATGATTGCCTTAATAATGACTCTTAATTATTTCTTAATATGTAAAAAGCAAGGCTGAAGTATATTTAATTATTGTGATTTGACCCTGAATCTTATTACAGTAGAGGCTGAATTGGTACCCACAAAATATGGGTAAGGCCTGCACTAGAAAAGAACCTAGAAGATCTTCCATGACTACAAAGATGTACACACACTCATACATGCACAGGGTTGTATTGTCAATACACAGATTTAGCCCTTCAAAGTTTACTAAAAACTTCCAAATATATCATCTCATTTATGCGGAAATATTACTTACTTAATCCATAATTTCCTATGCATCCACTCTAGTTGCTTTCAAAGTCAGCCCCTGTATTCTTTGCAATGCTAATCTAATGCAAGCTGGGAAAGTCACACACCCAGCCACCTTGCAAATCAGTAACCAGTTTGGGAATTACAGAAAACAATTCTCAGCCAGGACAAGTTCAAAGCCAGGAGCTTTGCTCCTGCTCTAATCCACTCTACTTTGAAGCAAAGGGCTATAAACAGTACTGATAATAAACAGCATAAACTCATCTCACTACGTTTCCAGGCAGGCACATTTAAGACGAACTACTGGACCCTGAGCTTTTATCCTGCCACTTCTCAAACTTTTTCCCTCCTATGTTTGCTTTCATTCACCCTAATCTCAGGTTATCTTCTTGCCATTAAGCCAACCCCATCATTCTCCATTCCCATCCAGCCCTGCAATCACTACACCTTCCACACAGTTAGTGCTGGATGTAGCATAAATTTAGTAGGACTTCAGGAGATGCTCATTAATAGAAAAAATGAAGAAATACTGGTCAATAAAGTCAAAGAACAGAGTTCCATAGACAGGAGGAAAACAATGTTATGAATAGAATTAAGCTCTGTCGTTATTGACAGCATCACAGAGACTTGTAAAATTTTTCAGACATTCAAATAAAAACTAGAAACCTCTCCCTTTCCCATGAAAAGAACAGAGCTTTAGTGATTTTTAAAATCCAGATATGTACATATATACAGTGGATTAGTTTATATTAAGGCAAGCAAGTCTCAGGAATGGGAAGTAGGATTTATATATCTCCCACCTATTTTCCTTGAAGAGAAAGATGATTCTCATTCATCTGTGGATCCCTCTAAATAAACAAATAGCATAGTACGCACCTAGTAAACACAGTTATTCAACAAACATTTGCTGAATTCTATTATTAGGAGGAATAAGGCATTTACAAGCCATCAGGAAGGTGGAGTTGACAGAAAGGTAAATAAGCATAATATAAAATGTAATAAAGTTTATAAAGACCTATAGAAAATTCCTTGAAGGCATAAAAGTGGAGCAGTTGTGCTTGTTATGAACTGGGGGTAGGTGTAAGGAGTGGGGGTGACTTGGCAGAGCTGTATCAGGAAACCTTAAAGTAGTTAACATACAAAACCGACCTCAAAAGAAGGTTAAAACTCCTAGGGCAGAAGTGGTAAGCGTTCTTAGCAGAGGGACGAACTAACTCTATACAAACTAGAAGATGAGTGAAGAAGTCATTCCTGTTGTGTCATTTTTTTACCCACATCCCCAAACTTTCTGAAAATAAATGGCTATGAAAACTGAGCAAGCTTCCTCCCACATAAAAATGCCTGGGTTGGGCTTCCCTGGTGGCGCAGTGGTTGAGAGTCCGCCTGCTGATGCAGGGGACACGGGTGCGTGCCCCGGTCCGGGAAGATCCCACATGCCGCGGAGCGGCTGGGTCCGTGAGCCATGGCCGCTGAGCCTGCGCGTCCGTGAGCCTGTGCTCCGCAACGGGAGAGGCCACAGCAGTGAGAGGCCCGCGTACAGCAAAAAAAAAAAAAAAGTGCCTGGATTACTAATACATTCACTAGAAACTATTTCTTTCAGCTGTGTCTGTATTGCCTTTTATGTTCTGGTATAATTTTGTGAATTATTCTGTTTTAGTGTAAATGCTATTAGTAGCAGATGGAATACATACTCACTGCTTTGAGAGCTGGGTTTATGCTTACTTTCCTTTGTTCTGTTCACATGGAAACATCCTCTATGAATGAGGAAGATGTTCCAGACACAGATTTTGTCTTGAAAAGTTTGGTAATGACAGGCAACTGCAACTGACATTGATATAACACTCTGTAGGTTACAATGCACTTTCACACTTATTCCTCCTAACTGTCTGAGGGTCTGAAGGTTTTTATCAATATCCTCATTTTATTTATGAGGAAACTAGGCTCAGAGAAATAAACTGGCTTGACCAAGATAACCCAACAAATGAGCAAATGAACTGCAAACCAACCTGAGCTCTTCTGGCCTCCAATATTTCTGCTCAAAGAACTCCTAGAAGAAATGGGCCTATGTTTAAGTATGTCAGAAAAGAGTGATATTATTAAATACTAAATAAGACAAATATGCATTAGTTTCTTTGAAATTGAGGATGAAATAAAATTTAGGTAAGGGTGGTACATGTGTTCAGAAGGTGGGTTCCAGGTCCTAAAACAGAGCAATAACAATTGACATAGTTTACTTTGTCTCACTATCTCCCAAGAAGAAGTCTCTAGCTATCACGGTTGGCCTGTGTTCACTTCTGAAAAGCAAGGACAAAAAAATTTTGCACAGTATTTCATAGATGACCTGTAAGAAAAACCCTAGGTAGTAACTGCAGTGGGAAATTCCAAGGAAAATCTCCCTTTGGGATCTAACCACTTTCCCCCATCTCCATCCAAAATCAATGGCTTTTCTTCCCTTTGGT